GAGTAGGATGAGTAGGGGAGCTAGGATGGGTGGGGCGGGGCGGGTTGAGGTGGGGAGAGGGGTTGGAATACTGGGTTTGGGTGGGGTGGGGATTTGTAGGGGTGGGGTGGGAACAGGTAGGGAGAGACAGGTAGGGGGAGACAGGTAGGGAGAGGATGGGCATGGATGTAGGGGTTGGGTTTGGAGGGGGTTGGGCAGGGGGCGAGATATAGGATCGGAGTAGGGGTTGGGTTGGGGATGTGTAGGGATGGGTTGTTGTAGGGGTTGGATAAGGGGAGGGGGCAGTATATAGGGATCAGAGTAGGGGTTGCATGGGGTCAGGTTGGGGATGTATGGGTGGGGGAATGGGGTGGGCGGGATATTGGAAATCGAGTAAGGGTTAGGGTGGGGATGTGTAGGGGTGGGTAAGGACAGATAGGGGAAGATAGGGTAGGTGGGTGTAGGGGGGTAGGGGAGGGTACGGGTCAGGGGAGGGGGAAGGAGATGGGGATTGGAGTTTGGGTGGGGTTTGGATGTGTTGGTGATAGGGTGGGGATGATTAGGGGAGGATGGAATGGGTGTGGGTAGGGGGTTGGGTGGGGGAGGGGGAGGGGGCGGGTTGGGGATGGGGTAAGGTTTTGGGATGGGGTAAGGTTTGGGGGAAGGTGGTGATGGTGCTGTGTCTACATGTACATGTATACCCATTCTTGTTCTGCATTTGTGGTGACTACACAAGAGTTTTCCCATGGTAATACAAGTATGGGGAGCAGAAGACACTGTTGGGGCTGCAAAAATCCACAACTGGGTCCTAATTACCCTAACAATGGAAAACTCCCCCATAATACAGTGACGGCTAACCTATATACACATGTATTTATTAGGTAATCTGTTGACTTTTTATGTTGACATTTAAAAACTGACCCCTACACCCAGGCACATCAACAAGAATCCTGATCCCCTTCCATCATGCCCATCCTCAACCCTACCTTCAGCCTCCCTTCCTGCCTTGGACAGCGAGCCATGGCGGCTTCGCCGTTCTAGTTTTTATTAAAATGTAAATTCTGCTTTTCTGGTAGCAGAAAGGCAAAAAGCAGAAAAATGGAACCTTTGAAAACGCTCAGTCTGTTTTTCTGCTGTTCTGACAGCAGAAAAGCAGATGTCCACTTTTTGTCCTCCAAACTGGTATTGATGCATTTGGATATACAAATATGAAAGCTTTATAAGAATACTAAAATTAACCATAGCAATTAATGTCAATTATAAAATAACATTTCACTTGTGAATAGGAAATGACAAAGGCAGATTTCAAACTTCTCAAATCTGGAACACTGTATCAAAGCAAGAGGTTTATCTTGCCTTGTACGTGCGTTGGTGGTCTACCATACATTTTCATGGATATGAAGGTGTGATGGTTGGTTGTAGAATAATAGAGACGTCGAGTATAAATTTAAACATTGAAAGATAAAAGGGCAGGTTCAGAATTCATCAGATGACAACCTGTGTGAGTATTGTAAGACAAACTAGTTATATCAAGTCTGATTGGAATGCACTCTGACTGATTCTTGCAATGCTGCTGGGCCTTGTCCAATCAGATTACATATATGATAGCATTCTTTCATTTCTTTGACATGCTTGCAGGGCCGACTGGTCTTATCCAATAAGATAGCCCGAATGATAGCCTTCTTCTATGTGATAATCCTACACCTGTTGGTATTCTTGGTGCTGTACAAGATGGCATACACATCGGCCTGTAAGAGAGACTCAGCTGCTGATTGCTACCATCAGTAAGTACACATTGAGCTGATACACATGCAAGGTTTGATAGGATTCTGAAAACTGTAGTCTATTTGAGGTCATTGGCTGAGAAAACTGTAGCCTATTTGAGGTCATTGGCTGGGAAAACTGTAGTCTTATTGAGGCCACTGGCTGGGAAAACTGTAGCCTATTTGAGGTCATTGGCTGGGAAAACTGTAGCCTATTTGAGGTCATTGGCTGGGAAAACTGTAGCCTATTTGAGGTCATTGGCTGGGAAAACTGTAGTCTATTTGAGGTCATTGGCTGGGAAAACTGTAGCCTATTTGAGGTCATTGGCTGGGAAAACTGTAGTCTATTTGAGGTCATTGGCTGGGAAAACTATAGCCTATTTGAGGTCATTGGCTGGGAAAACTGTAGTCTATTTGAGGTCATTGGCTGGGAAAACTGTAGCCTATTTGAGGTCATTGGCTGGGAAAACTGTAGCCTATTTGAGGTCATTGGCTGGGAAAACTGTAGCCTATTTGAGGTCATTGGCTGGGAAAACTGTAGCCTATTTGAGGTCATTGGCTGGGAAAACTGTAGTCTATTTGAGGTCATTGGCTGGGAAAACTGTAGCCTATTTGAGGTCATTGGCTGGGAAAACTGTAGTCTATTTGAGGTCATTGGCTGGGAAAACTGCAGTCTATTTGAGGTCATTGGCTGGGAAAACTGTAGTCTATTTGAGGTCATTGGCTGGGAAAACTGTAGCCTATTTGAGGTCATTGGCTGGGAAAACTGTAGTCTATTTGAGGTCATTGGCTGGGAAAACTGTAGTCTATTTGAGGTCATTGGCAGGGAAAACTGTAGTCTATTTGAGGTCATTGGCTGGGAAAACTGTAGTCTATTTGAGGTCATTGGCTGGGAAAACTGTAGTCTATTTGAGGTCATTGGCTGGGAAAACTGTAGCCTATTTGAATTTGTCATGACCCATGAGCGCTTTAGAAATTATCTTATTTAGTTCTATCGTCTGTATTTTACACACACAAAATAACCTCGATTTTCTTCCAAATTCTCAAACGCCATCCTCATACCAGTCAATTCTTTTTCAGCCTTTTTTTGATAGTCAGTAAAAACTTTAATGTTATTGATATTATGTTTTGTCTTGTTTAGGTTTCAAGAACACATGAATCATTTCCATCCTGGAGACAAGGTACCAGCAGACATGTTGGATGGTCTTGGACATGGTTGACTACAACGAAATCACTGACAGCAACATGTAAAGGACATTGTTAGGCTTGGGCAACTGTGCCACAATCAAAAGGAATTGCTTCGAAAAGTCCTATCTGCAATCTTAAATGCTCTGTTATGGAGGAATCGACTCAGTAGTAGCTAGTGTTTAATCAATAAAGCAAAAGAAAATGGCAGGGAACCATGCATGTACTGTACTATGAACATTGGGCCTGTGTGTCAGTAGTCCATATTCAATATGCCCTATATGAGCTTGAATTCCAGTCTAGAATGTAATGAGCACATGCACAATGTACATATGTATGTCAAAGAACAGAAATCGATACATACGCTTATACATGTATTGCTAAATCTTCAGTCATTTACTGGCCAACTTTGGGTTTGGAACATACTAAGTTGCACATTCAGACTTGTTAGGCCACAGAGGCCAATTCACCTGCTGAAAACTTTATATTTTTATTTTCATTAAATCGTATTGAGATATGACTATCGGTATCAGTATCAGGCCAATACTGCAAACAAATATGGATTATTGGATTGGCAGTCATTTGGCTTTATCGGTTCAACACTGAGTAGAAGCTCATTCTATTTTTCCAAAAGTCGATTACAGCCAGCGCCTGACAGAGTTCAAAGATTGTGCAATTTTCTAGAAAGCGGCAAATGCTGTAGAACTAAGCTAATTATGTAGAACTAAGACAGCAAATACACCTCTTAACCAGTGGCGTCACCAGACTTTTCAGTCTGGGGGGGGCACAGGGGGGGCACCAGCATTTGATGGGGGGGGGGCACTTAGGTGGATACGGATCGCCGTCCTGGGGGAGGGGTCTAAGGGGAGGGGGTTTTCGCATACGGAGGATGGGCTAGATGCAAAATGGTGCCACATTTGATGCTAAATTCGATCTGAAGATATCTCCAGAAATTGCTATTTTTGAGGTAATGATTTTAACAACGCGCAGAATTTTGCAGAGGATAGGGGGGCACCAGCATTTGATGGGGGGGCACTCGGGGGGCACTAGGTTTTCCAGGGGGGGCACGTGCCCCCCCCCCCCCTGGCCCCCCCTTGGCGACGCCACTGCTCTTAACATTTTACTACTTTGGTCATTTGTGTATTGTATTTAGGATTCCCTGTTAAGCTGGTGCAATTTGGAGTTCTGAACAGAATGGGATCCCATTCCAACATTGTTGGAGTTGTCCAGGCCTAAACAGTGTGTATAATTGTACATTGTAGTGCACAGAACGTGTTAATGACCATATTAAGTGAGAAATACTGTACTTATGCTTAGTGGCTGTGGAAACTAAAGGGAACATTATGTTTGTTTGTTTGTTTGTTTGTTTGTTGGGGTGTTTGTTTTTACTCCATCATGGGTTAATTGGCACTGATTGCCTTAAACAGGCTGTGGTTGGAGCATAGTCTGTGGCATATGAATAATGAATAAAATCAGTTTTTAAACTCAGTTTGAACAATAGTCCATACACTACTATATTAAAGGCGGGCTTTCTTTAAAGCAAAAAAATGTGAACTGAATTTTATGATGTCATAACTAACTTTCACTTTGTTCAATGTTACCATGAAAAAAGCAAGTACATGTATATAGAATGGGAGCCCAGAACATTTATTCATGCAAAAAGCACCAAAGCAGTCGACCTCATAGGGTGAAAGGGTATCATGGGGACATCACAAAAATGCATTGCTGCCGGGTCTAGGGCGTGGCCTAAGGTCCGAAATGACGTAATAAAGCACCGCCATTACCAAAAATCCCTTTTTTGACAATATGTCAAAAACTATACATGGTAATAGCACAAATGTGGTTTCTACACCTATGTTTTCATGGTCAATCTATACGCTTACTACCATTGTAGTGTCTGGAGATGTGTATCATGTATTATCTCAATTCACAACACTATTACCAAAAACCTTATTCCGGCGCTTTTCGCATGAATAAATGTTCTGGGCACCTGGTCTAATACTTTTGTATTAAGAAAAAGTGTAAAGACTATGAAGTGTTTCAACTGTACAATAAACTTCAAAACATGGAACATTTGAAGAGAACAATGGTTTATTAGCAATATTGGAGTACAAGTAGCTTACAAAACTTTTTTTTTTCGACAAAATGTTCTACAACCATCCTGTGCAGATTTACATACATGTAGTTTGTAGCCAGTAATTGATACTAATCATAAGGGCTTGTTCAATTTGTCAGCAGATCATTAATATTCAAAATGGATTTTCCGCTATTAAAATAAACCCCTGCTCCCTCACATTGAATTCTGAACCTCTATGTGATGTGTAGTATAATGTTCATCTGAGAAAAATATGAAACTCTAGTTATTTCTAAGGAATAGTTCAACTTATTGAGTCTTAAAACACATTTAAAGTATTGTGCCCATCCAACAGAACTGTATTGTAAGAATCTCTGTAAGGATGACGGGGTGACATCCTTGTGATCGCACTGTTCTCAAGTAGATTCCAATTGCTGTGGTTTCAACCTTATTTCATTATAGAACGTAATACAGAGCTGCACTACAATTAATAAATGAAATCAATAAATGGACACAAAGTGGAGCAACTAAATGTACATACTGCAAACTGATTGTCACAAGAGGTAAAACTGGTTAATAAAGGAATCAATTCAGTTTGTTGTAAATAAATACATTAAAGTGGAACATCTTCAAGGTGTACTTGTGTTTGATACCAATAAAAACACATGACAAACTCCTCAACTTGTTACCATGCCAAAGGTATTAAGTTCATCAAAAGTGTAAACAAGGCCTTTGAGTTCAGCACTGTTTGGCTACCTTCTAATCTACTTTCAACTTTTGTATGTACAGTTGAACACATCTATTGAATACCTACATCACTTAATGAACAATTCATTTCAAATCCAACTCTGTGACTAAACAAATGAATTAAAACATGCTACACTGGCTAACTGTACATAAAGCATAGCAATGTTGGTCAAGCCCGAATCCCATCACCTCGTGTGTATCACAGGCAAGCACCATGTTTCCTTTATCTGAAAATCATTTGGACTCTCAGCAGACATTGTCTCCGTTCGCAATGCAGTATATTATAACACAGAAGAGCACAGTGACATGGGTATCACTGAAGCTCCAAGGGAAAACATGTCGTAGTAAAAAAGAGCTGTGTGATTAACATACCCCAGGCTACAATGTAAACATATATACAGCGTAAAACTACAAAGCAAGCACTGAACAAATGCCAAAGGAAACTTGATGAAACAGGCATGCAACGGGGCATTTAGAAAAAATGAGGAAATTCCAAACCACACACGACTTTGTACAGTGTTTTTCAATCTGTCATGACAATTCAATTCAAACACATTTATTCCCTCTTCATGACAGAAATGAAAAATAATATAAGTATTGAACAAGATATAAAGGCCACTAGAGGTGGCAAAACCTTGAAAGCATAGCTTGTATCAGGCATGCCATTACACAAAAACTGGCATTCTTGAGAAGTAAATAACGAGGAAATCAGCGGATCCAAGGAAAAGTTGCATGCCTGATGAAAGCAGTGTCCGCAAGGGGTGGTGTGTGTGTTGACTCAGGCAGATAACTCAGCTGAGTAGTTGCCTCAATGCAGACATGCTTGAATGCTCATCACCTGTGACAGGAACTTGCTCCATCAACTATATCATAAAACAAACCAATGAACATAAAGCAGCGAGTACAAAGGATAATAAGCGACTTTTGTAGACATTTCAAATATTCCATGCTTTCCTGACAAATGATGGCGCTGTTTCTGTGTTGTTACTCTTCAGATAAAGGGTTTTCTGTTTAAATTGTGAACCCACATTTTTGGTAACTGAAAAACATTTGTGCATAGACTTTTTCTTCGATTTTTTTCACATACTGATACAACAATTTATGACTAAAGCCAAAAAAATTCTAGTCTCAAACACCCTTGTAAATGGCAATATGACGACTGAATATAAAGATAAATTAGACATATAGCATAGGTGCCTGAAAAGGCCTTTTAAGCTATTTCAACCCCGATACAAACTGAGTGCACAGTCACAAAAGTAAATATCTTGAGTTTCCTTTGACTGCTTTAATTTCTTAAAGGGAATATACATCATTTGCTTTTGCTGTAATTTTCAGAAATGGATGGAATTGGGGGTTGGAAATATATAGCAAATATAGTTACACTGACTTTTTTGAGGTTTTTGGTTCAAAAATGCTATAAAAACCAAGAAAAACAACAATTTTCCTGTAGTCTGGTTCCCTGACTCCATTTAAGAAGAAACAGAGCAATTTACGTACATTGGGGAATTGTAAGGTCAGGGAACCAGTCTAGCTGGCTTGTACCCGTTCATAGGTGTGTAATCGATTGCAAACAAGTGCGATGGTCAATTGGGGCCAGTATTTGAAAAAAAGCCAGTTTTTTCCCAACGCTGGTCGGCCGATCAGCGTTGGAAATTGATACAAAAATACCACTTTTCTTGAAAATGACAGTATACCAGGTGCCATGATTTTACAGGATGCTTTACACTGTCATTCACTAACAGTTCAGCAAGGTATTTCAAAATGATTTGGTAGTTTTATTTTTTTGATGTTTGCAAATGTTGTATTTTCCCTTTAAGTATGATGTCTTCAATCATATCACACAGACAATAGCCATGTATAACACCTCCCCTTTGCTGTCAGTTATTAAATAAGGAATTACCTGTTTGCAATGATCAAATACTTCATCCAGACGATACACCTCAGCATCTGCCTTGTGCCAGTTGTCTTCCAACACGCGCATCTGAGTGCAAACAGTGAATGCAGTTTCATTGATCCAATTATATGTTCTAACAGACATATAGTTATTAGATGTACTGTCCATGCTATTTACGAGTTCACCCTGAAACAAAAATTGATGTTCTTAAATTCAGGCTTGCAACTGGGAATTTAGAAAAAGCGAGGTAACTCCAAACCACACAACATTTTGTACAGTATTTTTCATTTTGTAATGGCATTCATGAGAAGTAAAAAACGAAGAAATCAGCTGATCCGAGGAAAAATTGCACGCCTTTAAATTGTTATTTTTCTAACAGTACAAAAGTTACTCACTTTTGAATTAAAAATTTGGCACACATTATTTATGGAATAATTACTCTTCAAATGTCAACTTGTTTTGCAACACAACAATAAATAAGTTCTTGAAAGGTTGCAGACACCAAAATAAGAAAAGGTTGCAGACACCAAAATAAGCAACAGAAGATAGTTTGATCATCAAAATAAACCACAAGATGAAGAGTCAACAGGAGAAACAAGTTGAAATTGTTGAAGAGCACAGAGAGTACATCTTTTAAAAGCAGGGGCGTAGCACGGTCATTTTTATTGGGGGGGGGGGTAAAATTTGTTGAAAAGGGCACTTGCACATCCGTTGTGAAATGTATACAGGTTTTTTTCCCCGGACACTTGGCCTCCGTAAAATCAAAAAGGGGGGGGGGGGTACAATCTGTCGATGGCGGCGCTGTTCAAAACCGACAATTATGCACACAAAGGGCCAATATATGGTGCTTTTCAGGGCGATACATGTGCGAAATTCTGAAAACGGCAGATGCCACAAAAAAAGGGCACCACTTCTTTTTTGATAAGGGCACTTGTTAAGGAAAAAAAGGCACTTCGTAAAAAAAGATTGGGGGGGGGGGGTAAGGGGGGTATGACCAGGCCAAACTGACCCGAAACATTAGAGATATAAACTGAATCCGAACCGAAAACGATCTTAACTCCCTCAAACCGACCCGACCCGACAAAAAATAAGGTAAAACCGACCCGAACTGACCCGACCCGATAAAAACCAAAAAAAAAAAAACGAATGCCTTAATTGCTTGGACAAAGTGATCACTTTTTGTGTGCCTGCCCTTACCCACGTGGCATGAATTCTTTTGCAAAACCATCGTCTCTCTCTCTGTCATACTCGGTGGGTTGATCGAGAGTAACTCCACTTACTGGACAAACGCATGGTATCCTCAGGCGGTATCATGAAAACTGTTACAATCTTATCTATTTCACTGTCAGTCCCATCCGACTGGAGAAATTAATACCGTGGGAACTTGATAGTGCGCTCGGTGGCCACACCACACTAGGGCTGCGGTCACAGTGACTGTCAATAATATTGCATCACCTAAATTTCTCAACTGTTTCGGTTTATTTCGGTTTATTTCGTTTTTTTCAAAAGATGGCTAAACTGACCCGACCCGAAAATATCAATGCAAAACCGAAACCGACCTGACCAAAAAGATGGACAAACCGACCCGACCCAAAGTCGGTTTCGGGTCGGGTCGGTTTCGGTTTCGGGTCGAGTTTGCACATCATTAGTCCATGCCTAACAGCTTGTTGAAATTGACCCCAGATGAAAAATAAAGGTTTATTGAAGTCAGTGGCATGAAGGATTTCCAGAAAGATTTGTTAATACAATAAAGCCCTCCTAAATCTGCTCAATGGGCGTTTTTTTTTTTTATATTTATGAGCAACATTATATTTTCCTCCCTCGGTCTACAGTCTCTATTATATTTACATGTTTGGTAGCTCTAGCATTCAATGTCTCATAGGACAGTCTCTATTATATTTACATGTTTGGTAGCTCTAGCATTCAATGTCTCATAGGACAGTCTCTATTATATTTACATGTTTGGTAGCTCTAGCATTCAATGTCTCATAGGACAGTCTGTATTATATTTACATGTTTGGTAGCTCTAGCATTCAATGTCTCATAGGACAGTCTGTATTATATTTACATGTTTGGTAGCTCTAGCATTCAATGTCTCATAGGACAGTCTCTATTATATTTACATGTTTGGTAGCTCTAGCATTCAATGTCTCATAGGACAGTCTCTATTATATTTACATGTTTGGTAGCTCTAGCATTCAATGTCTCATAGTGCTCCTGGCGTTCAACTAAGCAAACTCTCAGCCTCTCCAACTGCAACAAATATAGAAAGAAATGAAAGTAAATCAGCTGAACTGCCAAACCGAAGGAAAATTTGCTGCACATAAGTTGCGCACAACTTACAGTATCTAGAATTGAATACTTGAAATAAAAACATGAAAAATGAAAATATTCATGCACACAGAAAGGAAAGCATAACATTTTGCTTAATTCCTCTGCTACCGGTACTTGCTAGAATTCAAACCTTCATAAACTTGTAACGCAAGTCACCCATAAACCGACAAGGCGAGTGCACAAAAAACTGGCCCGGTTCCGGAATGTCTCACTTCATATGCAAAATAGACGCGCATGCACGTCGATCAAGACAAAAACTTTCGCCCAGAGTGCATTTACTGACGACGGCATTGCATTTGCTAAATTTTTGGGGTAGTTATATTTTATGGCAAACTTAGGGGGTCCATTTTTGATCAACTTTCCAAGGACAGACCTATCGACCGACCAACCGACCACAAAGTGACATGAAGAAGCTCCTGCCAGAGCTTAAAACATGTAAAAAGTTACTGCTAAACCAACAGAATTTTGTTTTGTTGGCGTCTTTTTTTGACACTTAACTTTGTTTAGACACTTAAATTTAAGGGATCTTCTGTGAGAAAAATCCACTCTAAATGCTTTGACTTTATAGAACAGCACAGAGCTGATGGAAGACTCCTCTTTTAACCATAACGCCAGTAGCCAGTTACCATGGAAATGCCCATATGCTTTTAAGGGGCTCAATTTGAGTGGTACTCATTACACTGTAAAAACATGAACCTTTATAACTTAAACACAAGTTAAATACGAGGGGTTTACAATCTACATAAATTGTTGCAAAAAGCGTTTATAAGTTAAACATTATAGGGTTTAAAGTGTATGAACCCTCAGAAAGAATGAAGCACACTTTTCCAACAGCTTCTAATAATTCATGAAGCAAATGTAAAGTTGGTTTGTCATTTTGCTTTTTGGAGATTGCCTGGAAGCAGCTTTGTTTTTGGCATCGTGTGAGCAACATAGAGAAATCTTGACAGCACAATAAGCCAAATGGACATTTCACTGGCACATGTGCAAACTGTCACCAGCTATGCATTTTTTGGATAAATACAATGTATCAGCAGTCCTAGTCCAACAGTTGGCAGGCTTGCAGCATCACGTGCGTTTGGTTATCCAAAATCCAGATGTTGATTTGGCCTATTCAATACTTATATCAAAGTTTATATAACACCCAAGTAAATCCTTGTCATTTGATTGGAGGATTCATTAATTGAACCATTGCATTGCCTACTTCATAACCGTGCATTTTTGGTTCCATTCACCGTGCATTTTCGTCCCATCCCTTTTGATCTATTGCACGCCGCGCGCAGTGGCCCGGCGCTATTTCATTATTGTCAATGATTTGACTTTTAAACCTTTGTTAGCCTTGAACAAACTAAACAATGTAGTGGATATGATACAATTTTGTGAGTTTTGTTTGTTCTTAAAGTTTTATCCTCCAATTGAATGACAAAGATCTACTTGGATGTTGTTTCAAACAAATAATGAATGTTTTGCATTCGTGCAATGGTGACAATATTTTCATTCGTTGGAGGATGGAATGTTCCATTCAACTCGGCGAACATTCAATCATTCAACTTATGAAATTATTCTCACCATTGCACTCATAAACATTCATTATTTGAATAATGAATTGTCCATAAAACTGAATCCAAAGCATCGCACTAAATGGAAGTCTGCTTACCTCCTTCTTGAGACTCAGGTTTTCTCTAATCAGCTTATTTCTGACTGCTGTTGGCTGCGATGCCACTCTCCCATCAACGTCATCCTCATTGCTGGATTGAGAACAGCCTGACAAGACATTGTCCAGCTGTTCTTGTAGGAGGCCCTTCTCCCTCTGGGCAACTCGCAGGCTGCTGGTCAGTTTAGCTGTCTCAGTTTGGAGTTTCTGGTAAAAACATGCCAAGAAAATAAATTAAATTGAAAAAAATTGGAAATGGGTGAAATTTCAATTTCATTAACAATGTACATGAAACAATCATCTTTGTTTGTTATATTGGTGAGATTCAGCAACACGTGTTATGTTGACTGCTATTAGACTACAGAATACAGGAGTGACAGTGCAAAGTCATACTTGCTAGGCAAACTTAAAATTTGAACTTGTAGTTCAAGCAACAGTGAAATTGAGGCTGTTGGGGACAATGAAAATAATGTTAATCAAATCAAGTTAGAAATAGTAACTTTCTATCTACTACTTTACGTTTAGTCTAGAGTGACCGCAGGCCACTGTAATGTCCAAGAAATCAGTCTATCCATTGAGGTTGGTAGCAGTAATAAAAGTGACTGGTGACTGCCAGCTAACCTCAATGGTTGACTTCTGATCAGAGAATCTCTCCAAGTTATCAGCCATGGATTGCAGTCTTTGCTGTGCATATTGCAATGCTTGCTGTTGTTCAGTTAATGATGCATTGCGATTAGCAACCTCCTGATGTAGACGGCGCTCCTGCATCTCTGATTCTAGCAGTTGCTCACGGATGACGCACAGCTCTCGATCATGCAACTTCTGGGATCTCAGGAGTTGGGTATGGAGCTGACACCTGCGATAGAGAAAGACACAAATATCAAGAAATGGGTGCATACACATTGTACGATAGTGACATTCACCTGACAGGGATGTAAGGATGAAATACATCTATCAGATTTTAGACCCTGTGTTACCACTTTTTCTTAACTTCACCTATATGGAAGGATTCCTAATGTACTGCTTAATAATAATAGCCATGTTAAACAGGAAAATATGAACCCATGGAAGTAAGAGAATCATTTGCCGAACTAATTTGTTTGAGATAAGAGTTCACCAAACTATTCTGCTCCAGGGTTTAACATACCGATCAATTTTTATGTAGCTATAATATATAACCAGCGAACGTAAAACCTGATCATTTCTAATTGGACAAAACTGTAATGAAGAATTGTTGGCATCCCGATGAGAAATAATGACCAAAAAACTAGCATATAACATATAAAAGAAGTATCATAGCCTGTACTCATTGCGTGCGAATGTTTCTGGCTATGTCAATAGAGGGCACTGTTTTTTCTTATGTTTCTTATGGGAACAAACTAGTTCAGCAAACAATGCTCTATAACTTCAATGGGTTCCAGTAAATTGAGAATCCTTCCATATAGGTGAAGTTAAGAACTAAAGGGGTTACACGGGGGTACAAAATCCGACGGATGTAGTATACATGTACAGTGCCAATATGTTATTTACAGTTTGGAAACAGCCTGAAATCAGGCAACTACAGGAGGACTTATATCCCATATCAGAGGTCTGCAGTCACCCAGGTAGGTTGCTATGTTTACTTACCTCAACCAACAGATAGAATAAAGCGTGTAACCAGTAATGACAGTGCAATGAGCAAGTCATTACAACCGTGTGCTGTGTCACATAATACATATTGTACAGTGTAGGAAGGAAACTATTAATAATCCCAGGAGCAACGAGTGGACCACAGAATAATGTAGTGCGTCCATGTCCAATGTACCACAAGGCCGAAGGTATTAGATATATTGGCACTGTTGTTGCCATGGATCAGGATCGAGGATTCATGTTTGCTTGAAGATAATAATATTCATAATCACTGCTTTACTATAAACTTCAAATGGTGTATATGTGTGTAAGTGCATGTGCTCTTGTATTAAAGCTATAGTCCATCATTTGTAATTTGCGCATTTTGTTCGTTTGAAGCAACAAAAGTGCTCAAAATCTAAAGAAGGGTACTGAACAACTAACCTAATGAAGTTTCAGCTCAGCTTCAGCTGTAAATTCCGAGAAAAACAGCATTCTAGGATCTCAATTTCAAATCAAAAGTTGCTGAATCATGTTTTGAATTGCGCCTGAATTCAGCGTCCGAGACACGTTCTCGCTGAGCCGATTGCAGCTACGCGATGTTGCGCAGCGATCCGACAAATTATAGCAGCCGCGCGCGCGTGAGCATCGTGCCAATGATTGTGCGCGCTTCGCCGAATAACAAAACGAACTACTAATTTAAATTTTCCTATGGTGCGTCTTAAGAAGCACCGTTGGAAAGGCCTTTTTTCGTTGATTACTTCAAAATGACAGCTTGCCAGAAAGAATAATTTCACAGGCATGACAGGGAGTTTAGTCCCCTTACTATCTTTCAACCAAGTATGTTTTTCAACAAGAATTACGCCAGCTACTTTTCGGATAGCTGCAAATGATGGACTATAGCTTTAAATACTTCCCGAGGACAGATACATTCATCTTTTGTTGTAAATGGTCATCGGACTTTTTGAGTGTGTGCTTAGTCTATGGGAGAGTGTTAAATTATAGGGACAAAAGGAAACACAATGCCTTGCCCCAACAATGGTAAAATGAGACTGTGTGTGTTTATTACAAGTTGATCATTCACAAGTTGATCGCCCCCATATGGCGGACTTTCACCTTTGGAGGGGATGAGGCGGTGAAGACACCTCCTGTGAAGCAGTAAAGGCAGAGCCTCATATTGTAATACATTCATGTAGGTGATATTGGTGAAATTTAAACCTAGATTGTAACATTGTTGTACAATGAACGACAGCCATGACAAATCTATACACACAAGATGCTTTTAAATGTTCCACATTAAGGGCCTTTCGGCCGGGACCATAGATATTTCTTTGAATTTACTGTTGTTTACTATCCATGGCCATTATACATACATGTATACATAAATGTTAGATTTGGAGCTGACTTTTACCTTTCCTCTTTGAGCTCCTTGACTACTGACACAAGGGTGTCATTACGAGCCAGTAGCAGCTTCAGAAGCTGTCCTGAGAGTGCCCTCGCTTGCTCAACCTGCTCCACTAGGGCTAGACTATCATCTTTACTCTCTTTCAATTCGTCAGCCTTGTTGACTTTCATATCTACAGCACACGCATTCGGATTGGTGGATGTCTCCACAGCAGTGAATGCACTGCTACCGGATCCACCAATAGCAAAGCCGCTGTCAAAGGGGCTTGGGGTGCGAGGTTGTTGCTCTAGTGAGACTGACGGGGTTTCTTGTAGTACCATATCTTTATCATTGATGTCTTCATCTTTAGATTGGATAGCATTCAGGATGGAAGCCACTAAGGAGCCAGATGCAAGCTCATTTGTCTGTGATTTGGATTTGGATTGGATCATCTTGGAAGCTGCAGTTGGCTCAGAGGCTTCCTTATTCAACTACAAAGAAAACAAACCAATTATTCAATCAACTTTAGTAGGCTGAGATAACCAAAGTATGCGCACGATACATGTACAATGCAGTCCAAGCAACCATCAGTACATCATCTATAGAGGATTTAATGGGCTCTATCGTTCTGAACATTTAAAATATCAGGTTTTTGAAGGAACACTTGCAACATTCTTTGCAACCAGACCTTTCATTTTGAATGTTTTTTAAACGTGTTGGACAGCTGTATTAAGGTGTTTCCATTGCGTGTGAACATACTCTATATGTGAACATGTGCCAATCACACACTACTCTCATTGAGTACTACATGCTTGTTGTCCAATACAGAGCCAGCAATCTTCACAGGTTATGAAAGAATCCTATTACCTGTTGGTCTTCCATGCTGATGTTGAGATGAGTGAATACGTCTTGTATCTTGTTGAGTAGTGCTGTCAATCCATCGGCAGCATCTCTCATCTCAGTGGCTTGGTTGAGTAGCATCCAGTGAGCATGGGCCTTTGTGTTATCTAACTCACTCTGACAGAATTGAAGCCTCTCACTGCAAACAAGACAAGGCAAACCTAGTCAAGCTGGTCCCAGAGAACACACAGTTCTATTCAATTGAATCAGAATGGCTAAACAATTTGTAGAATAAGATCTATTATATAACCGACATACAGATCCTTGTCAGTTGATTGGTGGAACACACATCACGTGACATTCGTTATTACTCCCATTCACGCCGGATCTCAAAAAGTCCCATTCGCCCATGGGGAATGGGAAATATTATTAAACAGTTAGGATCGATGCTTGTTCCAAGACGCGGTACATGTATTTGTGTGCAAATGCATGCTGGTGAGTGCGTTCAGCGTTGCGCATATTGTTTTAAAGAGCCAGCGCTACGAGTTGGGTTCAAATATTTTCGCGAAGGGGTGGTTTGGAAGAGATCAACACATTTTTCGCCAATTTCACCAACAAGGATCTATATGTTAGTTATATAAAACAAATATTGAGTGGCTTTAAATTGTGTAATGTGAGGAATATTAGCCCTTGGATTCGCATCGTGATATGGAAAAGTCCAGATTTTACCTTGCGATAATATTCCTCCCATTTCACTCTGAGCCACTCAATATTTGTATAGAGGTAACTTGAGGAAATGACAAATGCACATACACTGTTTGCATGGAGACTGGTCTTATATGAAACAAGCAGTGCCAGACTAATGCACATGTGGTGTAGAGTGCTCAATCATATCTACAAACAGGCAAGCCTCATATAGCTGCTCCCAGACCATAGTGTAAGTCACAAGTGACAATCAGTAAGTACCGGTAAGATGGGTAATCAATCTAAGTCACAAGTCACAGTCAGCCAGCCAGCCAGTCAGGGGAGTCAGTCAGTCAGTCAGTCAGGACACTACACTGGGAGCAGCAGGCACTAACAAAGCAACTATACATTGAACCTTAATTAAGTCTGATAATTACACAGTTGACCTGCGTATACATGTACATGTATGTCCTTCATGTGCCAAAGTTCCAAGTAACAATAGCAATAATAGGTTATATAGTAAACTCCGGCTAAACGGGCACTCTCGGGACCTGAGAATTTGTGACGACTTACGCGAATGCCGATATCTGCTGTAAGCCGTCATTTTGCCGGCATACATGAATGGTCTTTTGCACACATGATTCATTGCACTAATTGGCTTCAATTTACCCTGGATTATCTCCTCAATGCTTGAGTTGAATCCAGCAAATTAATCCTCGAATTGTATCATCACGTTTGGGGTATTGATAGTGGATACCACGATACATATGTACGTGCACAGTAATGCGTGCGTGGTCCGGTATATACCACGCACGCATTGACTGCAGCATCATTCAATAAGACGACCCCCAAAATGGACAGAGCGCATGCGTCCAGCCTAGAGGGGGTACTGGTATTGATATGCTCACGATGCATATGCGATGTATGCAGCAAAGATCCTATAGCGCCGCATAGTGGTATGCAGTAGAACACCCTTTTTCAACACCGATGCATGCAGCGGTCACGGGCTGTGCGAAACCACTTTTCACTCCACACTTTGCCAACCGCAGTACAGGAAGTCGATGCCAATGCGTGATTTGTTGAATGCCGACTTACACAAAGGATTTTGTAATGCTTTTTATGGAAAGGGGACCTAGAGTAACATGACGACTTGAGCGAAATGGTGACTTATAAAAGCCGACTTAGAAATAAAAAATTCAATGGAAATGCATTACAGACAATTGGGATTTAGTCAGAGGGCCGACTTGAGCGATTTGACGAGTTGTACGATGTCGGTTTTGCCAGAGTTTACTGTAGCTGTTTGGAAATCACTGTTTTCCCACTGACCTTAAAGTTTCTGCAGCACCTTTCCACTGTGATCCTGATTCCTCAGCCTTGGAGAGCGCCACCTTGAGGCGAGATAGCTCCAAGCTGGTGACTTTGAGTTGGTCTTCTGCTTCCCGGGCTGACTCTACCAGGGCAACTCTCTCCTCCTCAAGGAATTCAATGTTCTCCTTAAACTGCTGCTCAAAGTTCTGCAATGATGCGAGTGTGACTGTGTCAGTTAGAAGTCTACCTCTATTTCTATAAGTGGAGCCAACTGTTTGCCATCAACAAGGTTTGCTATCTTTCCAAAATGGCTGACACACACAATGAATCTAATCCTGTTGGGGCAGAAATTTTCCAGTTTCTACATTAGAAGTAAGTTCATATATTACTGGAAACATTTCACTTCAAAAATTTAGAGCAAATCACAAAAACGGTCGCACCACCCACCAACCCTTTTTTTTTCAATGTAATAGGAAACACATCTTTTTTTCTTGGTCTTAATACATATAGTATGATTGATCCTAACAGTGATATGTGGTGTCTTGTGATGATTAGTTCCCCACATACATAAAAGAAAAGAAATGCTGATAATGTTTGGCTAAGTTACTCCACCCTTGCAATGGGACCCTAAATAACAGAATTTGTTGTGGGAGTCATAATGTAGACCAAGAATGCTGGCTGGCCAAGCCTGCCATGCAGCAGGGCAATCTATGCAAATATATTGCATTACAAAGTGCTTTACACGTCAGAACAACTTTTTGTGAAAGTAAGCATATATTTCCCAAAAAACACATCATTTGTTGGCCATGGCAACAAGGTGTGTGACTGCTGGATGCAGTATATCAACCAAGAATGGAGTCAGTCTTCAATTTCTTTTTAACTGAGTAATTTGGACACTGCCAAGGGGCCAAAGTCAGGGTGACCCGATAGTAATGTGGCCCAGGCACAAGTGGCCGAGCTCTGTGACAACAGTAACCACTTTGAGTGGTCTTATTTCAAAACTAGGCTGTATAGCTCTCCTTTGGCATGACAATAAAAAGATCTTGGAGTTTGATATCTTCCTAGAAATCTCCCACTTGTTCACAGACATGACAGAGAACCAAACCAACGTGTCAAACATCCCATTTCCACAGGAGTCTGCATTAAAAACTTTTTAAAACATGATAAGTTTGTCTTTTTTATATACCTTCAAAGGGAATTGATACCAGTCCCATCTTCACTTTAAGTAAAGGTTTTGTCATTACATCAGTACATACTTTTCCAGTTAATTGTAAATGATCCGACTTGGCATTAAAGGAACAACATGTGACCTTTAATCCCTGATTATTTTTAACATTACAAGTTGCCAGAAGTTTCGATTTCAAGACTGTCAGACTTGACTCGATTCTACAGTAAACTCTGGCTCAGTCCGCAGTCTCGGAACCCGAGAATTTGTGACAACTTATACGCGAATGCCGACATCTGCTGTAAGTCGTCATTTTGCGGACTTACATAAATTGAATCATGGAGTAAAAATCGATTGAATGGCCTATGCACATCTGTATCTGGATCAATACTGCAAACGATCTCTCATTATGGGATCACAGGCTTTGATTTACCCTGGTTTATTTCTACGTCCATGATTGATTCCAGCAAATATATCCTCAATGGTTATCACCACATACAGGCTGACGTATTGATCACAGAATGTCATGCCTGTACGCATACGAAGCAAGGATGGCCAGCCAGCATTAACAGTGTGGTGTAGAAGTTAGAACGCTTGCATACACATATGAGTACAGTTAATTACATATTAAGGCATGCGTACGGTACGGACATGCGTGGTAAAGTTCATTCAATAATGGGACCCCCTAAAATGTACAGAGCGCATGCGTGCAGGACTAGAGGGGTACTGGTATTGATGTGCTTACAGAATCGGGGAAACCCCTTTTTGATCGCGCACGTGGTGGTGGTGGTGGTTTTTTTATGCCAACTTATGCGGAGGAATTGATGTAGTTGTGAAGAAATGGGACCAAAAGTAACATGCCGACTTAGGCGAAATGGCAACTTACAAAGGCTGACTTAGAAATGAAACTTTCAATGCAACTGCATTAGAGACGATCGGGACTTTCGTCAGATGGCCGATTTAAGTGATATGACAAGTTATACGTTGTTGACTTGGCCGGAGTTTACTATATACTCATACCACAACTACCATCTTTGAAAACTGGCAGCTGATCCACTTCAAAGTTTACCAAAATTTGTCTGACCATTTTATCTGCCCTTATCTTACTGTGCAAGAGTCCTGACTTGGACTTGAGACTACCTAAATTTACTCAAGTTAACTTGTGCATGGTCTTATGCAACAAGTGACTGGCTAAGACATCAGGCAATGCCAAACCTACTTGAATCTGTCTGGCCATCCTCTGTGCATCTGCTTTTGCCTTCTTGCTCATCTCTCGCTCCCACTCCAATGATTCCAGTTCCTTAGCTTGTTGGTTCATTATCTCCTTGTTTCTCTCAAGTTCTGACTGTAGGGCAATGATGAGATCTTGACTACTAGACAGTTGATGCTTCTGGTCAGTAGTCTCAGCAGTAAGTCTGAAAACAGAACACAAGAATTACCCAAGGTGATTACCCACAAAAATGACCCGAACATTGTTGGAAGTTTGCCAACCTTTTGATTTTAGATTTTTACCAAAAAGGTATTTCTGAATGGGGATAATAGCGTGATAGAGCAGTTGTAAATGTGATGTTTAAAACTGGTTAGGGCCCTGGTCGTCAACAATAGCCCTCGCCTTCAGCTCAGGCTATTTTCAGCTGCCAGACCATTAATCAGCTTTAAACCACATGTTCATAACTGCCCCATCACACTAAATACAGGTTATTTATAGTGAAAATACTCCATGACAATTAAGTCTTTTGATCTTGGAAATGCGATAAATGCTTGCTATGAAATATGGCTTGCTACTAGAGACATACATGCCTCTGATGTAAGTAGCTTCCATAGCAACTAGCAAGTAAGAAAAAACATTCCTAATTTTTTTAATTCAGCTCCTGAAACAAGTTTTCAGGAAATGTGGCATGCACAACTGTGTGGCTCACAATACAGAGAAAGTGCAGTATTTGACACGCTTATGGGGCTAGCTTTTGACCAAAACAAAGTTTCCACTCCATCTGAAAAAGCATTTTTGTAATAACAATGTTGATGAAATTGGTATCAAAACATCCACAACTTATCAATCTATAAACTCACTGTTACTGCTGATTACCAATGATTGCTAAATGTTAGGAACAGAGTGCTATCATTAGGAAATATATCAATATACATTGCATTGGTTTGTACCTTGTATTCTGCAGCATGAGATTCTGAATCTCTTCTCCAGTCTGTGAATGCACTATCTGCATCTCTGCCGTGGTATCTTGCCATTGTTTACTCTGAATAGCCAAAGCAGCTTCCACTGTGCACTCTGCCAGGAAATGCTCGATACTCTGCTGCTCTAATGCCTTCATCTTGGCCATGACAGTCTCATAATCACTTTTGTAGCCAGACAATTCTGTAGTAAACAGTTCAGGAAAAGGATGTTTTAATTATATCATTTACAGTTGTATGTGATATAACCATAGAGCTATATTAAATTACTAGAGCGCTAACTCGATGTATAAAGTAATGCCTGATGGCCGCATCCATGTTTGTGCACAAACCTATGGAAAACTCGAAATTGTGTACCGCTTTTGTACGGCTATTTGCATATCTGCGTTTGTACTTGATACCGGTGCGTCATTGAAGCCGATACGCAAAACCGAAACGCACGATCAGCAAATGAGCGTTTCATTTTGCTCTATGCAAACAGGGCAACGTGTGCGCGTCCCTCGCTGCAGATGCTTTTCGCTGTGACGTTTTTGAACAGTCATGACGCGCTTACGTTGTTTGCGTATCTTCTACTTGCGCGTTGCATTTAGAGTATACTTTTAAAATTCAATCCAGCTATTTTGATTGTCTTCTACAAACACACAAATAAATTCAAAATGTCTGCGCCCAGAGCGGCTTCAAAGCGTCTCCCCGCGCAAGAATGAGGAGTTAGTGCTCTAGTAATTTAATATAGCTCTATGGATATAACAAATATATAATATGCAAGACATTCCTGCAAATGACTAACCTGAAACGGACCTGATCTGACTTGAACAGATTAACCAGATCCAACTGACCAGATTAACAAGACCTAACTAACCTTTTCTTTTAGAATTTGGTTGTTAAAGTATGAGTGTTCATACTTAGCAGCAATATCTCATAGGGGATTTGTGAGAAGTTATAAGATTTAAGATCTTTCTACACATGACCGACCAGACTGACTGATCGGACCTGACTTGATCTCACCAACCTGACCCACTGACCGACCAACCCACTGACAAATTGATTGATAACCAACTGACCTTCCAACCAACTAACCAACTGATTAACAAAATGACGCATACTCCCACAAATCCAGCATGATTTCCATCTATTAAATAGTAACCAGTTAACCAACTTTTATCAGACTAAAGGGCCATTCAAAAAGTTCGATGTTTTTAAATTTCAAGTTCAAAGGTCACTTTTTTTGCTAGAAAATAGAAAAAAAAACTCTTTTAACTTGCCAATTCAACTCTCTGCGTACCGATTCGAAATACTTTTAAGCCTTTACCGTACGGCCGGGTACAGTATGCATCTGTACTACCGCACAAGTACAATGTATCATGTATTGTGTATCCATCGTAGCACCATGTATGCATGGGTGCGCCGTGCAAATGGAGCAGGACACCAGGTTCATGTGTCTTAATACACGCCATGAGCGTCGGTTACCAATTGCGACAAGGAAATAAACCTACTTGTGTTCAACATTAGGCAACCTGCATGCGCATATGTATCGCATGCATGGTATCTGCGTCCAATGAACATGGCAGCGTCGATGAGTCTGAATAGCGCGAGTTGAGAGTTCTTTTTTTTCTATCCAAAACGACTGAAACTTCTGAATAAACTTCATGAATAATTGGAGTCATTATACCTCTTAACGCCAAGACAACAATCATTGTTTTTAGAGCCAGCTAATGTACTTATTATCACCGTTTAGAATGGACAAGTTTAACGTGTTCCAGGTTGATTTCCTACGTACGGGAATGCCAGTGGGCCGTGTTGTTGGTAAGGTGCTGTGTACACTAACCGCAGCTGAATTCCGCCGTCACTGAACTAGACATTTGTCCATTTTTTTTATTGAATGGAAAATCAAAATTTTAAGATCGAAAATCAGGGTGGGTGGGTGGGTCAAAACAAGTTCGGGGAAAAAAAAAATCGAAATTTAAAAACATCCAAAATGTTGAACGGCCCCTAACATATGTATCCAGCCACAGTATTACTTCTGACCTAATTTTGTATTCTGAAGCTCTGATTTGATCTCATCAGAAGTCTGTGAGACCTCGTCTAATTCTCCCAGTAATTGACCCTGACACTTGAGGGCGTCCTTCTCAGCATTGATAGCATCCTGTAGCTGTGTCTGTGTATAGTGTTGCTGGTCCTTTGCTGTTGCTAGCAGCTGTTGTAGCTGCTCATTCAATGCTTTGGTGTGATTCATCTCATCAACCATCGCTACTTGCTATAAGGACAAAAGTAAGGTTAAGAAAGTTACGATAGACAAAAACCAGATTCACACTGTATAAACTGTAATGCTCACACTTGTGGAAATTGTTTTTATCCCTCATTTGATGGACACTCTTAGAATGGTTTTAAAAGGGTGTATCTGTAACCACCATTGTAACATCTATTATTGTCGACAGGCGGTACACTGGTATGGTACATTATTTAATTTGTCATATCACAGCTTGAGCTAATGTAAACAATTGGAAGCTAAATTACAGGTGTAATAGAGAGAAAAGGGGAATAAACCAACTGATGCTTTCATATGAAAGAATTATATTTTTTAATGTCTTTTTAGTTATTAAAAAGAGCGCAAGTAATTTGTTTCCAGATTTGTGTGGATTTCTGAATATGCAAACACACCTGTTTGTCCAATTCATCTTTCTTGTCCATCGTCTTTGTGAAGAGTGCATTCACTAGACTGTATGCCTCTTCAATACATCCAAATTGTTCCTAAGGAATAACAATCACAAAATAATACTCAGTTATTTTATGAAAACTTGTTTTTAAGGCAGAGAGAAATGTTCATATTTCATGCACAAATGTCTTTTATTCATTACTTTCCTGTGTTTTGACTTGTACCAAAGATGGGCGGAAAAATGGTAACGTGAGATACCAAAATGTATCACTCTGGAGATTTTATGATAATTTATTAACTTAAATGGTAGCATCTGAATTACACCCAAAGATGTGAGGCTACTAACAAGATGTTTAAATCAGTGGGCAGTATGAGGAAACTTGGAAATGAAGGGTATTGACATTATTGCCATGTCCTTTTCTTGTAACGCAAGTTACCAATAAAAATGTATTGGCCAACCAATAGAACTTTATTTTGTTGACATAGTTTTAGTAGTTTAGTCACTTAATTGCAAGAGATACAATGCATGTGAGGAAAAATCTACCCTAAATGCTTTGACTTTATAGAATAACAGCACAGAGTTGAGGGAAGACCCCCTCCCAATGTAACACAAGTTACCATCAAATTGCCGTTTTATTACAACTTGTCAAGCACCTGAATCTCAGCGGCTTTATCCAGTGTGTCTTTCAAGTCAGTATAAGCTTGTAGTTCTGTCTTGAGCTCAGCAATGGTAACCCTAGCTCTCATGTAGTGAGGCTCATAGGTGTTCTGCTCATAAAATGCATGGAGATCAGATACCTGCAAGGATAGGCAATCAATACAACTTCAAATTACAAACCACAACAGCATTACATCAATAATCTATTCCAGAGGTTTGTTTTTCACTTAAATGGACAAGGGATGTTTGCGACGGTTATGATGCATCGGTCAAGAAAAACAAATGCTGAAGTCATTCCATAAATGAGACAGTTGCTTAATATTGGAAACAGTATTGGATCAAAAAGTCAAGATCAAGCCCATCAGTCTTAGGAATAGGCTTTCCAAACTTTGAAACATTTTTATAAAGCATAACTGTCACCACTATGGTAGTAATTATGAACGTACATGTATTTTTAATTTAGAAAATGTTTTTCCATCCTCCTTTCCCTTTGCTGTAATCAAACAATTCTGAGTTAACAAACTCCCTTAAACAAGACATTGCTTCTACTTAATGGCATTACAAATGACTTACTTCTTGCTGTTGTTGTTTATAAGCAATACACAGGTCCTGTTGTAGGTTGTGGATCTCCTTTTGATACTGATCTCTCAGGTTGATCTTATCCTGGTTGGCAATTGATAACTCAGCGGATTTCTGTTTGTCCAATCAAATTGATAAAATGTAGGATGTAAATTGACTGGAAAAATGACCAAACTCAAGCCATTTAAATGGCCTGATGATGGGCAAATGTGTGTGCCTATACGTGTGCATGTAACTTGTGGGACAAGTTGAACGTAATGTTTAGCCCTTGCATGTATATTGCACTGTATTATTAACTGACACTGTACAATACTCTGGTCTTGGGCCTGTGATAAGGTCAATTATTAGCTAAAACCTTTCATCCTTTAAGGCAAGGTTTTTATAATTTTGGTAAATTGTCACTGAATTAAGGATGGGAATGTATGTTTAATATGGTGAACTGTTAAAACATTTAAAAACAATCTGCAAATACCTCAAAAATGCTTCCGTCCGTCCCAAAAAGTGTGAAGGACAGGTATGGAATATTGATTTACAAGTTCAGCAAAGATATTGTTCGTTTAACAGCTTGTACCGGTACTGAGGAAGCGAAAGAGAGCGATATACCATCTACCATGCAACCAAAGCACAATTTGCCAAGCGGAACTCAACTGCGATGCCAATGGAACTCATTTAACGGTAACAACAGTAATTGCCAGGGCCTGAGAATTTCAAGGAAGGACTGTTATTTCCCATGATCAGATGATTGCCGATTTGTCAAGGAATTAGTACACCATTCTGATCATTTATTAAAAGAAGGTTCATGCTAGACCATGCTGTTTGCCTGACCTGAGTAGGCTTTAGCGGGCTACATTCATCAAGATAAATTAGCAATTTATAGCCAACCTAGACACAAAGCGCAAATATTTCCAGTATCAGTAAAATTCTTATTTATTGGGAGTTAATCCTGTCACACTTCCTTTTCAATGGGGTAGATTCAGGCATACCACAGCCTGAAGTAGCTATGCGATTTGCACTTAACCAACAACAAAAATGAATGCCTTTTTGTTCTTGTATAATCATGTCTAAGCCCAAACTCTCCCTAGTTTTGAGAAATACATGTAGATCTTTTATACAAAAACATTTTGCTCTTTGGTTTTTGTCATAGATGGACTTGAACCAGCTAGATGTGGCCAAGGTTCACCTTTTGGATTTTTTGCTGGTTCTCGCACGATCAAGAGCATAGAAGCTCACAGTTATCAACCAGTCAACAGAGCGTGGCGCATGGTACCGTCAAACACGGACGCCCACGGAATGCGCAGCAGGCCAGGTATATACGCACTGATGTCAATAATTACAACGGCAGCTTAAATAAATTGACAAAATAGGAGAAATGAAGACAGGGTCTTGAATTGTATTTCTTGCGAATACCTGATGTAAGGCTTCTTGTAGGAAAGCTAGTTGATTCATCTGCTCACCGACTTGAAGGAGAAGATTATCAACCTCTGTCTGTAACGACTCCTGAAAAGATGTAACGAGAAAGAGGCAGTGCTATTGTCTAGTAGCCCTGTCGATATCAGAAGTTTTGATTATCGATACATGTACATGTATATCATTAAACCAATATGGATTATAATCAAAGAATATTTCAAACAAACATTTTTGGTATGTTGCAAGTTCTTACCAGGTATACAGTTTGTGTATTGGGCTGAATCACTTTGTAAAAAAAGCAGGTTAAAATCTACCTAAAAATACTTTATTGCAGAGTTTCAGCGGGTAAAAAAATTTGCTCCTGTATCACATATGACATCATCACTTTGTGCATTCTTCGTGTGGAAGCTGCTTGAGAAGCTTGGAGCAGTATGTAAAAAAATTTGAAAATATTCAAAAACATTTGAAGAGTTGAGTTGTGTACCAGTACCTGTACGTGAAAAACACATCCATACCTATTTTGTCTTACCAAAAATGCATCTCGGCAACATTTTTACTTCAAAAACTATCAGAAATTACCCCTTTTGTATTTCTTCCTTTCACATCCTTGGTGATTAAGAGTGTAGAAGGCATTTTCAAACCAAGTATTTTTCTGACTTTAACGCGACATCAGCGCAAATGTTTAGCCGCCTCAAAATATCTTGCTTAGCTCATAGACTGGTAAGCCTATATGACGATCTTTCACGATATTTCGATTTAATTTTTATATCGGAAATCGTATCGATCTCTTAAAAAAAATCGGCACATCATGGAATTCGATATGCCGAAAAATATCGCGATATTCTTTTGAATTACCACTTTTGTAACCATTAGAGTCACCACTGGACTTTAAATAGAGCCGCTACAGCGCTCCCATAAAAAAACGCAAACCACAAATTCACTGTTACCGCATTGTACCGCAAGGTCTTACCTATCAAGGGGCAGAACCAACTGACTTAACGAACGTCACGTGTATTGGATTTTGCGTCTTCCACGTGGCAGTACAAACATGGAGCTATACAAACAACACAATCCAGACCATCTTTTTAACCGATTGTTCTCAATTTCGCCCCCAAGTACCAAGTGAAAACGTAATCACGTGCGTCTAAGTTAACCGAAGGGAAACAAAGTCTCTGACATTTCGCAAAGAAAATACGGTGCCTGTTTTGTGACGGAAATGTTTCATACAGAACACTGCTTATTCTCAAAACGATTCGATTGGGATGATTTTTTAGACATGTTTTTCCGGAGAAGAAGTATGTAAGTTCAGCAAGGCAGAACAGAGGCATTTCACCATGGATACCGCACAGGTACTAGTCTCTGAAAGAAATAGTTGAACGAGAAGTTGTACAGACAAAACACCGCAAATAATTGTAGATTATGACGTTGAGAAGTGAACATGTTTCGTTTCGGCGCGCGGTCAGGGGAGCCCTCGTCGGGCCCACAAATTTTCTTTTCCCAGGCGGCGCAGCCTGCGCCTCATCAGGCCATAGATCAGGCAGACCCAAACGACATCCGCATACATGGTTGTTAAGCGCCTCCTACAATACTTTTATGATACGTACGCACTATATAATGGTTTTGTTTCCCCACAATGTGGCGAGCAGTGCGACAGCTCAGTCGATACTAAATTGTGATTTTGCACCGCGAGGTTGCGGGTTCGAATCCACGGTTTTGCACCCGGATTTTTTTTAATTTTCTAACCTGAGGCTTCGGAGGTTTTTTCAAAAAGGGAAATAAAGTCCGAATTCCATATATTTATATATTTTCGATTTTCTTCTCATGTTTTTAGAAAAGTAAAGTCCAAAACTCCATAGCGTATATGCGGATGTCGTTTGGGAGAAAAAAATTTGCTGCCGGGCCAACGACTCCGGCGAAATAGATCAAATTTTCCTGCACATATTTTCCTGACTCGTTCCGTCTCTGCCGTGGCTGTACCCGGGCACTTACACTTGCTTAGTGCCAAAACTGTGCCAAACTTATGAAATCAGTTCATATTTTAACAACAAAAAACGTCGAAAACCAACTGTTCAATCGTGACTTTCGTTCAAAAAAATTGGAAGGAATTAATTTTTACAAAGGGGTGCTTCACCCTCTTTTTGGAGTTAACATCGTTTTTCATCAATAAATTCTTTAGAAAAAAATACTTTTGTGAGTTTGTAACAATGAAGAACTTTTTCTGAACAAGAAAATATTTCGGACTCCATAAAAAAAATGTTATTTGTAATTTTGAAAGGATGGAAATACTGGTAAATTGTTTTCAAGGAAGCACACCCTTGACCGCAAATGGTGTGGGCTGTACACGGTCTGCACGTGGCATCAGTGCGGCGTGCATTGCGTGCTGGTACTTCGTTCTTTCCTTGTGAGATATTTCTATTTACACATTTTTATCAAACATTTCAAGGTAAATTTTTTCGATATTTGAATGTGGAATTTGTTTTCTCCTTAATTGGCAAAGTAAATGAGAATAGTACTCAAATAAAATTGATGATTTTGTTCAGGACATATTCGGACCATCGGGACTATCGGGTTATTTTTCACGGCAGTGGATGGTGACTTTGGTCGTGTTTTTTGTTTATTCCATTGTTCCATGAATGGAAAAATGACGTCATCACGATAATATTGCGATATCCGATATTTTTTCCATGATATTCCGATTTAAAATAAATGGATATCGAACAGGCTTATAGACTGGTTCCCGCCAAACAAAGATGATAAACTGCAATTGCACTTAATGATTGCACATACATTAGACCTACGTGAATTTCCTGTCATTTTTAGTCGGTCCCGCGATTGGTCCTTTTGTTCAAGCTATACAAAGTGTAAAGCCCCATGGAGTAAAAATAAAACCGATTGTCAACACTACCAACATGTTGATGTCTTCGGGCAAGTATAAGTGAAGATCATGAAAAACACCTATTTTGACGTGATTTACTTAAAATAACGAGTTTCAACCTACTTGGCACTTTAAGGGAACCATTTTGTATTTAAGATTCTTGCACTGCCTTCTGTTGACAAAACTGTTTTTGTCCAGTGGTCCTACCTTGCTCAAACACCGGCCAACATTTCTGACCAATATCATTTACTCATATCAAATTTTGGATTTTTCAATTTCATTAAAAAAATGATAGACAATGTCAATATCACACTGTAATCAAGTAATATTGATATTTCGACGGAGCGTAGTGTCGCAAAATTACTTGTTTGGAACAGAAGTACAGAGAGACACCAATGCCATACCTTTGAAGTTTGTCGCAATTCAACCTTCGGATTAAGCTGTTCCAGCCTTTCCACCACCTCCCTCCGTTCAAGTTGCTCTCTGGCTCCATCTAGTTGGTGTTGTAGCTCAGCTTTGGTTGTCTTCATTGTCTGAATCTCACGGCGGAGGAGTTCATTACTGATACATGCTGACTCCATGTGACTCATCAGACTGCTAGCATCCAGTTGGCTTGGACTCTCAGCTTCTAATCTGTCAAGATTTAATGGAAAAATGGGTATTAATGACTGTAACATTCAACACCTTTATTGTGGAATTGCGGAAGGAAAAGCTGTCATTTAAAGCGTGGACTACATGTACATGCAGTCCTCTTGGGAGACCACATCACTTCATCACACTAAGCCAAATTATCATTTGTTCATTCTCATTTTGAAAGCAATGCAGTTATTTTGGGTACAAATCAGAATACCTTAGCTTACATATAACAAAGTGGTCCATTTTAGGCAGGGATGTTCAAATTCTATATTACAATTTGGTGAGCAATCATGCCTATATGATTTATTTTCAGCATGTGAAGTAGCATGTGGCCCAATATACAGAGGCTTCTGATAAGCATTGATTAGGGAATGTAATACTTACTTGAATGCTGGTACAACAATCGGTGACGTCAGTGTCTCTGCAGTACTGAGAGCAAGGGGTGTAACAGCTGTGCTTGCATCTACTGAGGCAGATGGGCTGGTTCCACATTTCATATCAACAACTCTAACAGGTGTTGATCCACACTGGGCATCTACTGCCTGGTATGAACCTGTACCTACCCCAACCTCTGTGACTCGTACTGGACTGGTTCCTGTAGAAGAATCAGTGACCAGAGCTGGGTCTGTACTCAGACCAATATCAGCAGATTTAACTGGGGTAGTACCGATGAGGGCATGGCTAGATTGGATTGGTGTGGTTTCAGTCATAGTATCTGACATTCTGATGGGCGTCACCATGACAGACTTGTTTGTCATTTCTACTGATTCAGAGGGTGTGGTTCCAACACTGGCATCCATCAGACCGGTGGGTGTAGTAACAGTTGAAGTGTTGGACACTCTAACAGGTGTGGTCCCACAGTTAGCATCACTGCATTGTTTGGATGCTGTTCCGAAAGCAGAATCTGGCAGTTGACTTAGGGTCGCTGTGACGGACTTGTTAAGAACTTCAACTGGCCTGATAGGTGTGGTTCCGATACAGGCATCAGTTGAACTGGTGGGATTGGTCATAGTCACGCCATCAGTCATTCCAGTGGGTGTGGTTCCATTGTAAGCTTTAGAGACATAAATGGGCGTGGTCATCAAACAGCTATCTGTCTTTAAGATTGGTTTGTGAGGAGTAGTCCCAGTGAATATGCTGTAAGATTTCACAGGGGTCACGCCAACAGAGCTGTCCGTCATTGCTGTTATATTGGAGTGGACTGGCGTGCTACCAACAGCTACACCAGCCACATTAGTGGCAGAAGTCATAGGGTCAGTTTGCATTGTCTTGACCGGTGTCATGGCAACAGAAGTGTTAGCTCTGTCATCTGGTCTGGTACCATGACTGGTGTGTGGTAGTTCAATGGGCACAGTGCATGAACTCCTGATTGCAATTTCAGCTGGTACCACTTTCATTAATGGTTCAAGTTCAACCAGGGCCATGTTTGTCATTTCAAGCTTTTGAACAACTTTTTGGACTGAATCAGTTCCCTGAATCATCTGATGAGAAGCAATGGGAGTAGATCCTGGTAAGCCTAGCACCAATCTACGTGAGCGCATGTGATTGTTGCTGTTTTCTCCATCAGCGTCTATAGATATGTTGTCTTGGTGGATAGTTGGAGCAAGTCTTGTTTCCTGACCCTCATGATGATTAGCAGGTGTAAAGCATGGCTTACTGATCTTCATGACAGGACTACACCCTGCAGCCATTCCCTTCGCCAGTGATAATTCAGATGAAATACCGGACAGGTTGTCCTCTAAGAAGACGCTGGTATCGTCCTGACCCTGGCCAGAGTTGTTGTAGGACTCGTCAAGCCCCAGAGCAATACTCCACAAGCCATCAGTGGTTGGTGTTACAGGATCTAGAGCCAGTGACTCTGTGCTGCTGGTCTTTGTAGGGATTGAGCAGGTTGCTCCTTGCACCTGTTGAAGTAGTAACAAGGACAAAGATTCATCAATTTTCATTTTAGTTTCCTGCTTGCAAAAAAATGTTCAGCTGACATTCCTACTGTACGGTGCAAACCCAACTCCAAAATCACAAATCCTCTGCATGAAGTGCGGGATCAAACATCACCTTACAACAATCGGACACAGATGAAAGCCAAGAGGTTCTTCCTACCTTCTCATTTCTCAATTCTTGTAAGGCAGCATGAATTGCACTATCTACCAATCCTGACACAGTCTGTTCCAACAGCTGATCTCCATCAGATATGGAAGACAGTGGTTCCATCCATTCAGTGCCACTTTCCTGACAAAAAAATCAACAACAATTCTAAAAACTACTTGTAGCATGAAAGTTGTAGGTTTTGCACGGAGCATTACCATTCACATTGATCATTTTGTCAATGTCTTGTGACTAGTAAGTCACAACAATACAGTGAAATCTCGAGTTGTCAAACCTCAAGGGAACAGGTTCAAAATTTGACTGAAGCAGAGTTTTGAGTTAAGCAGGGTTGTATATCATTGTTATACTACAGAAGGCAATGGATTCTTTGTTTGACTTAACAGTTGTTTGACTTAAAGGGTGCTCATTTCATATTCACTATTTTTGTTTTTAAATATTTTCTAATGTCGATTTGTTTGAAATGTATGTATTTGCTTACATAGTTACAGTGCACATACATGTACATGTACCTTTGGAAGATGAGAGCAAGCAGATATTTCTTTGAGAAGGACTTGATTGAGGAGAGACTCAGCAGCTTCGGTCACACTCAGGGCTGTTCTCTTACAAGACGACCAAGCCACTGATGGATCTTTGCCTTTCCTGAAGAAAAAACAATTACAGAAGTGTCAATCCTCTGTAATGTAGCAATTCTTACTGACTTAAAAAATATGAGCACGTAAATCAAAATAAAGGATGTTTATTTTAAGCATTTGTGGCACCTGTGTCAAATCAGGCACTTTAAAGCTATAGTCCATCATTCACAGCCATCCGAAAAAGTAACTGGCGTATTATTGTTGAAAAACTTGTTGGTTGAAAGATAGTAAGGGGACTAAACTCCCTGTAAAATTATTCTTTCTGGCAAGCTCTCATTTTGAAGTAATCAACGAAAGAAGGCCTTTCCAACGGTGCATCTTAAGACGCACCGTAGGAAAATTTAAATTAGTAGTTCGTTTTGTTATTTGGCGCAGCGCGCGCAAGCATTGGCACGACGCACAGGCGCACACGGTTGCTATAATTCGTCGGATCAGTGCGCGACATCGCGTATAGCTGCAATTCAAAAATGATTCAGAAACTTTTGATTTGAAATTGAGATCCTAGAATGCTGTTTTTCTCGGAATATACAGCTGAAGCTGAGCTGAAACTTCGTCAGGTTAGTTGTTCAGTATCTTTCATTAGATTTTGAACACTTTTATTGCTTCAAACGAACAAAATGCACAAATTACAAATAATGGACTAAATCTTTAAAGATACGTCATCTGTATGTTGTTTGGGTACACAGTAACTTTGATCCACTAATTTAAGACCTCCTAGAAAGGATACAGGAGTAAACATTTGGATATTGTGAGTGAGATTGTTTTGCATCTGTTGACAGCCACCTCTATTCCTTCCAGAAGCAGCCTCCGCATCAAATCTGTACCTGTTATTTCTTTGTCTCTGACTGTTATTATATCTGTTTCATGCATTGAACAAGGGCTACAAAATCCTGGCAGGCCAAGTCCACAACTTCATACAAATGTGAACTGCGTTAAGTATTTTCTAAGCAAACATGTTGGACATGTTTTGTTAAAGGTGCCAGCTAAACTAGATCAAGATGCATAATGCATGTATGGGTGTACATGTACTGATCTTGATTGGTTCCAAACTAAACTGAGTTCAATAAACTTTTTTTTTTTTTAACGGTATATTTCAATGCCTACATGTACTAAAAGCTACATATTTCTCCAAAGGTGTACTTTTGTTCTTTTCAAACCTGTGTTTCTTGCTTTGTCTTCCTCGAGTCTTGTTTGCAGATGTCAATCTGGTAGGGGTGCAGTGTTTGACAGGGGTCCATATCTTCTGCACCATCTTTGCTGATGATCTGTAGTTGTGGGATGCAGTTACATCTTGGTTGAGACTAGCTAGAGGCTTTCTGACTGGAGTCACAAGAGGATTCAAGGTTTTCCCTGGTGTCTTCACCTGCAAGCAACATGTCAGGAAACAGTTTCAATACCATTTATAGTGTAAGTTCAAAAATTACACTTGGAATGTAAGGTTGACAAAAATATCTTGCTTCAACAGACCTGCTAAAAGACCAAAATTTATGGTCGTCTGTGGGGCTTGTGTTGAAAAACTATTCAGGCTCTGGGGTTTTGGGGGTTTGGTTTATGGTTTTTTTTTTTTTTTTTAAACATGACATATCAGTTAAAACTTTGCATGCCACTTAAAACAATACCGTAAAATAGCAACTAACAGACAAAAAAAAATACTAGAGCTATGTCTGTTCGAACAGAACATAAGGCTTTTTCGCATTTAACAAATGTTTTCTGTTGTGTTTATCCTTTTGCAGTCACTTTTGAGAGTGCTTGATACAGTAAAGGTTATTCAAAATGCTTAGAATTCCAAAAATAAAGTGTTATCACATGACGTCACATGCCCTGCGATGACGTCATCTTGACAACACATGTCAATGCACATTTTGTCATTGTGGTTTTGGTTTGTACCAAGTTTAAAGTCAATCCGATGAAAGGAAGGGTACAATTTTGGAAGCAGAATACAATTTTAAAATATAAAAAAATCATAAAAAATCAACCGATGACGTCATCGTGACGTCACTTTGGACTTTGCATACTAGTACCATGATCTACCTACCCACCAAGTTTCATGACGATCGGACCTTCCCTTATATGCATTTTTGATGACGTCATGATGACGTCATACAAACCAAATACAAAAAGAATTTTGAATTTTGCATGTTGCGTTCATGAGATATGGCTTAAAGGTCCAAAAATTCAAAAAAACATATAAAATGGCACAATGACGTCATCATGACGTCATTTCAAATTTTACCTATAACACTTCCCGGCCTACCTACATACCGAGTTTCAACCCATTCAAACTTACCGTTCTGTAGATATAGGACTTCAAAATATGCACATTTGTGATGACGTCATGTGACCCATGATTACGTAATCAGGATGTCACTCTTCGGGACACAACTTTGCCATAAGGACAATGCATATGCTTAGTTTGAATGATGTATGACAAAGTTCAATGCCAAAAGTGGCGTGTACAAAAATCATGTGCATTGTCAATGGGATTTGAAATAAAGCTTTGACACATGACGTCACATGCCCTGCGATGACGTCATCTTGAAAACCATCCTCAATGTACATTTTGTCATTGTGGTCTTGGTTTGAACCAAGCTTAAAGTCAATCCGATGAAAGGAAGTGTGCAATTTTGGAAGCAGAATAAAATTATAAATATTTAAAAAATCATAAAAAAATCAAATGTTGACGTCATCATGACGTCACTTCGGACTTTGCATACTAGTACACTTATCTACCTACCCACCAAGTTTCATGACGATCGGACCTTTCCTTATATGTGTTTTGAAAATCCGCATTTTTGATGACGTCATGATGACGTCACATATTTTTTCAAAATTTTATGCAAATACCTATTACCTAACGAACCAAATACATAAAGAATTGTGAATTTTGCATGTTGCGTTCGTGAGATATGGGTAAAAGGTCCAAACATTTAAATATTCATATAAAATCGCATGATGACGTCATCATGATGTCACCTTATTTTGTATCTATAACACATCCCGGTCTACCCACATACCAAGTTTCAACACAATTGGACTTACTGTTTTGTAGATATAGGACTTCAAAATATGCATGTTTGTGATGACGTCACATGGCCCCTGATGACGTAATCATGACGTCACTCTTCGGGACACAACTTTGCCACAAGGACAATGCATATGCTTAATTTGAATGATGTACGACGAAGTTCAATGTCAAAAGTGGCGTGTACTAAAATCGTGCACAAAGTCTATGGGATTTTGGGCACAAAAAGAAGAAACCCCCCCCCAAAAAAAAAAATCAGAACAAAAAGAAAGGCTTATTCGCAAATTGCGAAAAAGCCAATTAAATGCATATACTGTAGTCTGTAAGTCTAGGACTTACGTAAATATGTTTGTCTAGAGGCAAAAAGAAAAGGACTAAAATGGTACATAATTGTGTAAATAGAAGTCACTGGGCAAGCAATGGTACACGCATTATACAATGAATGTTTATTCATGTAGTATCTAGAGTTGTCAAAGAGGACACTGCATCTGAATCATTACATTGGTCTTAAACTATGTGTCCCAAATGTGTTTTTCTTGTCTGCTAATTCTTCAGCAAAACACGCAGCTCCAAATATTTTTGCAACTCTGTGTACTTTATGCTGGTGTACGATGTTGGCTATTTAAAGTCTGCCGACTACGAGTGGTAAAACTACGACACAATTTGAAGTTCAAATTAAGCGGCCGGAAGCACAACAGTTTCAGTATCTAGGATTAGTTGAGTTACCTGGGCACCGACATTCTCCTTGTCAACTGTCTGGTGTCTTTGTGGTGTAGCAAACATGATCGAAGAACTACATGCACCCGACTCTACATGGATTTGGATTCTGCAACGGACAATTCAACAGGACCAAGATTTACATGTTAGCATTGGCAAGTACGACATGATTGATACAAGGGCCTAACAGAGGATGTGTTTAATGGCATGCAACATGCCGGGTGCCCTTTACACATGTTGAATTTACCTCCTTAAGTGCCGTAACAAATAGCTGTTAAAGTTTTGTGTTCATATTAATAATCAAAGATGATGGAGAAACCAATAAAAAAAATGCAGTTCTTGGAGTCTGGTTCCCTGACCAAACTTCAGATGAAGCGGAGCAATTTATAGACGTCAGGGAATTGTCAGGTGAGGGACCCGTTCGAAGACATGATGCATGACATGACAGATACATATTAACCAATTGCAAACAAACTGTGGACTTACAAAATTTGGTAAATTGGGGGCAGCAGGTCTACTTGAAAAAAAGTCAGTTTTTGTCCAACGCTGGTCAGCCAACCATTGTGGAAAATTGATACAAAAATTCCACTTTTCTTGAAAATGACAAGCAGCACCTGTGCCTGTGGCTGTGCCAAGATTGCACAGGATGCCGGACTGTTAATAATTGATAAGTTTCTTTAATTTTTGAAACTGTCAGAATGTTGTAAGCCAGTTTGGCATTCCAATAATAGTGAGGAATTTGGGCTTCTGCGCAAGCGTTTATCTCGTAACTAAGGATTCTGTGCTATATGGTTCTGCTAGTGTGGTTGCACAAAATGGTGATCGTTAGCCCCATAAATGTTGCCAATTTACCGGACTAACTCTGTAAATAAAAGCCACACTTGAAACATGCACCCGAAAATATAGAACTTTGTCAAGTTTTGATTTTAATAATAGACTTTGTACTTTATTTAGGCCTATGCTTTAGAAGCACACTCACCCTTCTTATAGCGATAGAAAAAAGTTCAGCATTTTTCAGACGGCAAATTTTTGTGTAATTTCGTGTTAGAATTTACATGTAGATACGCAAACGTGTGGAAACGAACCTGGAAATCACACGAAAAATAGACGTCTGAGAAATGCCAAACCTTTTTCTATCACTAGTAATAAACATGATAAAGAGGGTGAGCAGTGAGTATGCTTTTAAAGCACAAATAAATATGCTTCTTAAGCATTATAAATAAACTACAAGGTACAAGCCAAGTCTAAATATGAAAATCAAATCTTGACAGAGTTCTACCTTTTGGGTACATGTTCCAACTGTGGCCATTATTACGGAAGCAGTCCAGTAAATTGGCCACATTTATGGGGCTAGGTGATCGTAAGCAAGGATCTTTGGTTAGCACCAAACATGCCAAAGATTCCTACGCTATAGCACCGCGTAGCGCTAGCGGCGCTATAGGATCTTTGGTCGCCTATAGCGCTATAGGATCTTTGCTTAGTACTGTAGCCGGTCCAGGTCTGACTCCCTAACCTACCTACATCCAACCTGGGCTAGTTAGCACTGTTGCCGAATAAATGTGGCCAATTTACTGACTACCTGCGTAAATGAAGGCCACACTTGGAATATGTAACCGAACATGTAGAAGCATACTCACCCTCTTTTATATAGGATAGAAAAAAAGTGCTGCATTTTCAGGTGTTTCTTTGTCGTGTAATATCATGTTGACATTTCTGATGCGCAAATGTGTGCAAACGAATCTGGAAATTAGCATGAAAAATAGACGTCTGAAAAATGCAGCTTTTTTATCTATCCTAGGCCTACTTAAACATTAAAAAAGAGGGCGATCGTGAAGTGTAGGGCCCCTGTTTTGTTTTGATCAAATAAGAGTCAAAAATGTTTTTTATTGCTAAAAAATCACCTTTACAATAAAAAGCAGACTTTTCTCAATTCAAATGACACCCGTTTTGCAATTTTGAACAGATTCTTGGGGTAGAAATCCCGATTTTCCTGCGCGGTTTATGCCTTGCGATTCAGCGCGCCGTGCATGCTCACGGTAGCCTACATCGCGTGGTGATCGCCATCTTTCTTTTCGGGTTGCGTGTTGTCGCTGCGCTGTCGTCGTCATTTTACCCCTAAATTTCCCTCAAAAAATCAAAACCCTGTCCTCTATCTATGACATACCTATTTATTGAGAATGTCGCCAACTAGTTTGGTAGGTCCAATAATTTTAAAGTGGATTTTGTTCCCTTATACTATAGGAACCGGGCCCTACACTACACGATCGCCAAAAAGAGGATGAGTAGGCTATGCTTCTTTCTAAAGCAAAAATAAACTACAAACAAAGCCTATAGCCTATAGGTGAAAATTTAAATTTGTCAGAGTTCTACATACATGTTCGGGTACATGTTCCAAGTGTGGCCTTTAAAGGGAATACATACAACATTTGCAAACATCGAAAAACAAAACAATCAATTTTTTACAAAATACCTTAGTAGGATGTTGGTAAATGACAGTCTAAAACATCCTGTAAAATTATGGCACCTGGTTAGCCCCACTAGTGTGGCCCTCGGTATGCTGCGCTGAACCTTAGGTTCAGCGCAGCATACCGACGGCCACACTAGTGGGGCTATCATTAGCCCCATAAATGTGGCCTATTTACTGGACTGCCTCCGTAAACATAGGCCACACATCCACATGTACAAAAATCGTGTCGACGGAGCCAAATTTTGATTTTCACATTTAGGCTTAGTTTTGTAGGGTTTTTTTGCTTTAGAAGCATACTCACCCTCTTTACAGGCTAATCAGAAAGTGCTGCCTTTTTCAGATGTCTAATTTTTGTGAAATTTCATGTTGAAATTTTGATACGCAAACGTGTAAAAATGAATCTGGAAATTTCACGAAAAATATACATCTGAAAAAGGCAGCACTTTCTGATTAGCCTATAAAGAGGGTGAGTATGCTTCTAAAGCAAAAAAAACCTACAAACTAAGCCTAAATGTGAAAATCAAAATTTGGCTCCGTCGACACGATTTTTGTACATGTGGATGTGTGGCCTATGTTTACGGAGGCAGTCCAGTAAATAGGCCACATTTATGGGGCTAGGCTATCATGAACAATGATGAAAATGAAATTGGGCCCAGTTCACTTGTTCATCATGTTCTTATACAGTCAAATTAAACCCAGCATCCGCGACCCTCCATAGTTTGTGAAGGTCTAAGTATTTATATAGGGCCTAGTAAATTTCTACAAATACGAGAAAGAAGCTCACCGTACTGTATATCGTCTAATATTAGTCGGCACAACCGGCACTCGGCACACTTTTTTTACAACCAAAAACAACGAAGGACGCGCAGCAAGCTGTGGCTCGAGCTGCTGGTGGCTAGCTCTTTGAAATTCGAAATTTGCGCGATAGGCGAATGAGGGCGCTGTACACACGCGTCTGCAGGAGGCTAGTCTACCGGTGCAGCGCATGCATTGTAACCATTGATCTAACCATGGAGCTATAGCTCCATGATCTAACAAACCTAGCTGGCGGGTGCCGCACGAATGTATAATGGGTGGAGTCGTAAAGTTTGTATTTTTTGCATGTTTTAAATAATTGTAAGTTCAAAGTTAGGATTAAAAAACATCTTGCGTAAAGGAAAGCATGTACATATTATTTTTGTGGAAGGCGATTTGTAATTAATAAACGACATTGCTGTGAATTTTGGAAATGATCAGTGCGCCCTCAGTTGTATTTTTGAGAAGGGGATCATTATAGTCAGGTTTTTTAGTTATCTATATTGTTTTATTTAATTGTTATCGTTAACGAGGGTAGTCCAGTATTTTAGTTTTAAAAAAATCAGTTTCGAAATGCATATTCATATCGTACGAATTTGTACGATCGACGGTTAAAGGGTACACCCCAATAAATAGGCCAAAACTCCGCACGCCGAGCTCGGCATAAAAGCATAGACTGCAGAGCAAGGAAGTAGATACCATGGAGGAATGTGTTCTTATTAAGAACACATTAAATGGTTACTCAAATTATTACATAACGGGACTCAATTGGAGACTTGAAGACAATGGCACTGCCGCCTCTGTATGCTGCATTTTGGATGCATTTGGGTCCGAAACTGTGGCGCTATTTACCCATGTTGTGGATGGGGAACCTTTTTCAAAATGCCCGTCGCCATTTTGAAAACGGACGCCTATTTCGCTCCATTAAACAATTTTAATTAGGGCCTAATGTACTCCAAATGTTACACTAATATGGGCTCACAGTCCTCTGCACTGCCTCCACCCTTCTTTTCTTTTCTTTTAAATCCTGAAGTTCACGACCCTCAAAATGCTCCATTATACCGGAATTTGTGCAACTCGTGATTTGGCCGGCGTATATAGACATTGCCGGGTCTATATTAGCTTAGAGGCTTACCCAAGTTCATAGGCGCGGTATGCGTCACGGTAAAGGAATCATGATCGTTATGCTGTCGGTCGCTAGTGACAATGACGACTTCCACATTATTTGACAGCCGCTCTCAAGCTTTGGATAGTCAGGGATGACCATGAATTTGTGTTGATTTCCCTCTGATTCAGATTCCTCTTGATCCAATTATTGTAACTTTTTAAGGGAGGCGAGGGCGGCCTCTTCTCCTCACCCTATCAGGAAGTCGCGAGTAGTATAGCCTTTCAGGTGTAGTGGCATTCTCATTAGGTGTGAAGGTGTCCTGCTCCATTGGAAGTTCGTTCTTATATGAGGAGATCTTCGAGGGCAAATCTGTTCGCTCTAGGACCTGGCCTGTTTCAAGTTGTAACCATGTCTTTCCAGGTGATTTTCATTTTTCATTATTGATCTAAGGTGTCTCATCGCAAAAGGCGAATAGTTTCTTTACATGGCTTCTGGTACAACGGTGTCCATGTTTCGGCGCTGTATAGGTGTGGATAGAAAGATTGCCATGTAAATTGTACATTTGGCTCTACTGGATACATGACATAGAGCTATATTAAATTAATATAGCTCTATGATACATGATTACTCCAGAGTCTTTGGTGCAGTCGCGTCGTTATACATCCCGCATCCCTCGATATCGTGCTGCCGCGATATAGTAAAGTTTTCTACCATGTTTAGAATAGTGCCATCAACTGTGAAATGTTCTGCCTGCGTTAGCTCGCCGTTGGAGTTGCAGCTATCAATACCATGTTTACATTAACCCCGTAGAAGCTTGGCTCCCTTCGTTTTGTCTGGGTTTATCATAATAGTCGGCGCATATACATGTACACTGATTATTGTGGCGATGCAGTTCCTTGTCAGTGGTAGTTTCATCGTAATAATGCTGTTGTAACGTAGAAAAAAACCTGGTTCCACTGATTATGTCGCGATTTAGCTTTTTAAACTGGGACAAACAAACAACAAAAAAAGGAATCAAGGAAACAAAAATAGACTTCTCACAAATTTAATTTAGTCTCAAAAAACCTTCCAACAAACAAAAAACCAATGTCTATCCTTAAGCGCAAAAACCTAGTTTCCAGAAATACTTCGAGGCAAAAAATCTCAATCAGGATCAACAACGAATAAAACACTCAAAAGAATTTGCCAAGGATAAAAAAAATGAACAATTTGATAAAGAACTAAGTTAAAAAGAATAAAAACCAAAGGAAAAAGGGGGAAACAAAATGAAACCCACACAGCACTAGAGGAAAATGACTCTAAAAGCACAGGAATGAACTAAAAACCAATGACTGGACTAGCAGACAAAAGAAACAGCTAGGAAGACACTTTCCAGGTAGGAGGAAATATATGACTATATGATGTTAAGTTGTCTCACTGCTGGTCTGCTGGGTAATAATCACTCGGGCATGACAATGTGGCAGCTTTTATATGGGGGACTTGTGGGCTAAAATAAACAAACAGGGGGTCACACTACCAGGAAAAGGGGGGGGGACATCTAAACTTCAACTAAAATGATTTTCTTTTCTAAGGGGAGCTACTCCTATTTAATACACTATGAAAACACACAAGGAAAACTTGGCCCTGCCACACTCACGCCATCTTTAAAATGTTGGCTCCTGACAACACAAAAAATACATACAAAATACTTCTAATTTATATACAAAATAAATTACTATTGAAATCGAACTGATGATCTGATGACACGCCTTGGTCTGGTGAAGATTTCCACAGATTCATCAGAGCTTGAGTTGAGAGAGAGCCGTCATCATCCGAATGGGAGTCTGGAGATATATCTGGGAACTGAGGTGGAGGAGCGGCTGGAGAAGGTACATCTTGGGACTCGTGTGAAGGGGGAGCTTTGGTTGTCATCTCCTGCTGCTTCACTTTCTTCAGGTGCTGCCTCATGTATTGCATGGTGTCGTTGTGCTGGCTGGGCCAAAAGTATCGACCCCTCACTTGTTTCAGGACATGGCCGTATCCTCCTGTCTCCATGCTGTTATGCAAACTGCACAGTACTCTGTCCCTTAAACTGCGGGGTAGTACTGGTACCAGTACAGAATTGCCCTTGCCTTCTCCTCTTCTGTACAAAAGTAAGCCACCTCCCACATCCAGGCGATCCCAGACAATCAGTAGTCGTTGTACCGATTTAGGTTGACGTGCCTTTGTAAATCCCGGGACATACCGTTATTTCGTTTTGCATTTCCTCAAAACAAAAACAGTAAACAAACCATTGACCGTTTTGTCGTTTTACAGTTTTGTAAAACGGTCAAACGGTATTAAGATAAATACGGTTTCTCTGTTTTATAAGTTTAATAAAATTCATTACAGCATAACGATCAATGATTTTTGTTTTACAGTTTTACACAAATAACTTTGAAAAACAGCAAAACGGTCAGTATTAAATACAGACTGTTTTTTTATTTCAGTGTCATAGTGAGCAGTCCGTGGTGCATTTTGTGGTGCTGGGCAAGGGGGATGGAGGGGGTACCATGCTTTACATGAAAAAGTGTTACCTCGGCACAATGCGTGGTGTGATTCCTGGCGTGACCATGACCCCCTTCTCACGCGATTCAGTTGGTGGGGCTTAAGAGTTGCAAGCAACTTAAAAATGGCGCTGGAAAACTTCAAGGGGGGACATTACTTTTTACAATGGATACAGGATGGTAATACGTTTGAAGAAGTTGCAGATATTTGAAGGACATTGGAGTTCGGCGCGGCTCTTCAATAGCCAGTTCGAAAACTATGTCGTGAGAACGAAATGCGATGAGGGTAATTTGCGTCCCAGGCAATGACTCGATCCCATGAGGACGCATTAACATTCCTAGGTGCATTGCTTAATTGCCTAACCTAAATCAAAAAAATGGTCGACAGTACCGTTTGACCATTTTTCATTGTCATGTTCTTGTAAAACAACACTCTGAAATGAAGCAACTAACCGTTTATCGCTTTCAACAATTAAGAAAAACAACAAAAAGGTCATTGTTTTTTGTGACCTAATACCGTTTGACCGTTTTACAAAACTGTAAAACGAAAAAACGGTCAACGGTGCGTTTACTGTTTTTGTTTTTGAGGAAATCCAAAACGGTAAAACGAAATAACGGTATGTCCCGGGATTTTTGTACTCTGGCTGATCCTCATAGGATTTGACAGTTTAAGTTCCACCACTTTCCTGATGGCAGGATCTTGTTGCTGTCCTTGGCGCAGACGGTGACTGTGGCTACATCGGATGCCTCCAATACCCTGGCTTGACTGACCACTGGTAGGGGCAACGGTAGGGTCTACTGGTTGTCTTCGAAGTGGGGGACACGAGGGGCTTCTTTTGGACTCTTGGGCTCTGGTTCGTTGATGGAGACTGGGGACACGGGTACATCTGGAACGGGCTGATGGATGGGGACTTCTTGAACTGGCCAGGACTGGTGCAGGACACACTCCAGACTTCGAATGTAGTGCCTCTGTTGTTGCTGCTCACAGATAACTTGTCTGAGGACCGATTTCAATGTGTTTATTTGTTGAAACTGCTGTACAATCACTTGTTGCATGTGTGTTTGATGTTGCAGCAGCTGTAGGATGCTCAACTGCGGTTCAGCTAACGGCACTTGGTCGACGTGGTCAGAGCTGGTGGGCAGTGGGTCAAACCCACTCAACTGAAGGGTAGTCAGGACCTCCGTCATGGCGTTTTCGTCATCCTGCACTTCTCTCGTTCATTAACCAAAAAGCACTGTGTGGGTTTCGATTAAAAAAAAAAAAACTTTCAAAGAAGAAAAAAAATGTCCCAGCTAAAAAAACATAAATGGCTAAATTCCTAAAGAAAATTAATCATCCCGGGTTCCGGCGCCAAAAATGTAACGTAGAAAAATGGATCACTAGAGAAAAAACCTGGTTCCACTGATTATGTCGCGATTTAGCTTTTTAAACTGGAACAAAAAAAAGAAAGAAAAGGAATCAAGGAAACAAAAATAGACTTCTCACAAAATTTAATGTAGTCTCAAAAAAACTTCCAACAAACAAAAAAACAATGTCTATCCTTAAGCGCAAAAAACTAGTTTCCAGAAATACTTTGAGGCAAAAAATCTCAATCAGGATCAACAACGAATAAAACACTCAAAAGAATTTGCCAAGGATAAAAAAAAATGAACAATTTGATAAAGAACTAAGTTAAAAAGAATAAAAACCAAAGGAAAAATGGGGAAACAAAATGAAATCCACACAGCACTAGAGGAAAATGACCCTAAAAGCACAGGAATGAACTAAAAACCAATGACTGGACTAGCAGACAAAAGAAACAGCTAGGAAGACACTCTCCAGGTAGGAGGAAATATATGACTATATGATGTTAAGTTGTCTCACTGCTGGTCTGCTGGGTAATAATCACTCAGGCATGGCAATGTGGCAGCTTTTATATGGGGGACTTGTGGGCTAAAATAAACAAACAGGGGGTCACACTACCAGGAAAAGGGGGGGGGGGAATCTAAACTTCAACTAAAATGATTTTCTTTTCTAAGGGGAGCTACTCCTATTTAATACACTATGAAAACACACAAGGAAAACTTGGCCCTGCCACACTGTCACATATAGGAATTTCTGTAAGTCTTGATACTATGTCTTATTCCTGATGGCAAATCCAGCTCCAGTTTCTCTACGAACGTTTTCCTTCAGGCTTGCCACTCCAGAAGGATGAACATTCCAGGTCATTGAGTCCGCCCGACTCTGGAAAACCATGTTTCACATAGTGCAGCAATTTCAATTTGGTATTTCTCAAGCTCCATCGCTACCAATTAATGTTGTATTTATCTTCCAGGTCTGTCGGTTACTTCTCTGTCGAGAAGCATCCTAACGTTCCACTGAGGTATCTTCAGAGACATTTTTTTCTCTTTATCTTTTTACGTCTTATAGCTGATTTGTCACTGTCGACGGAAGTTCTTGCCGAATAGCGCGGTCCTCGGGGGTAAACCGGGCGACGACTGAGCCGGTATGGAGGTGCGGTTGTACATTTTCATGAAAGCTGCTTGCAAGAATGTTGAAGTGCAGATAGCTTTTGCAATTAAGTTACCATCAGCACTCTCTCGGGGAGCAAGAGTTGTCTCACACCGGCATGCAAGAACATGCCGGAACAGGCATGAACTTTAGACCCTACGGTGGCTAGCCGGAGGATGCCGGGGTTTCCTAGCAATCGTTCGCCCAAGTGCTGCCACGAGGCACGGTTTGCTGTTGGGGTTTGCTCCCTTGGCTCTGACTCAGAGCCAAGGGACGAGAGCATAATGACAGAACAGTGGGCTTCGACTATGCAAGGCAGGGCGTATGGCACTACCTCAGGCCACATATACCGTGATTGAATAAAATGTCATTCGAAAGTGTGACACCACGGTATATACTGTGGTCTGTATGCAATTATTAACTTTTCATCATCTTTTATTTTCTGCTAATTTTTTTTTTGGGGGGGGGGGATTGACCGATGATTTTTGGGAGAAAATTCCATCCATAGATGATCACCCTAAAAGTAGTCCTGAAGTACATTGCCATTCTGAAACAGGATGGATACTTTCCATTGCAAAATAGAGCACTTTTAGGGCCTAAGTTTCATCCGAATATCACAGAAATAAGAGCTATATAGTCGCAGTCGTCTTCACATCTTCATTTTTACAAATGCTATACCGGAGAATTTGGAGTATGCAAATCGTGATTCGGCCGGCATAGGAAATGTTGTGCCTATTTACTCTTGTCTGCATCCATTTGTACGAGACGAAAACAAAAACATAATGCTGCACCGTGTAACCTTTAATATGGCCATGCCACAAGAGGTGGCTTATATTGACGCTTCTACAATACCTTACAATTAAGGAGCTACGCCATGCAGTGTTTTAAACAAAGGGGCTGAGCTTCATTTCTTGAGTCATTAGGGAGTGTGGACATGAGGCACACGTGTTTATGGGAAGCTTCCTTTTTGATAGAACGTCCTCGTTTGGGGAAAATGAATCGTTGAACAAAATGGGTCAGGAGGACGAATCCCCCCCCCCCCAATCTGCAACTGACAAATGCCACGCCTAACTGACGGAAATAAAGCCTGACAGTTGACCCCTCCAATAGGAAAATTAGCGCGTGAAACTCGGAGTTTCTTAAGAAAATCACCCTCGCAAAAAGGCCTTTGTAAAATTGTTACTATATAGCATCTCAATTTATGGAAACTGAAAATCGCATGACGTGAAAGAGAAATAACGTGCCAACATTACCAACACATCTTAAAAGCTCTACGCAAAACCCCCTACACCGGGGGTTTGTGTAGAAAATATCAGACGGTTATTTATTGCTCCCCATCATGTACAATTACCTTTGCCAGCGACCGCAAGTTCCATTTTAAAGAACAAGTTAAGACAGTATGGGTACCAACTTTTATGACAACGTGCTGGTAATGCTGGTTATAATGTCCGCCTGTGTTAATCATCGTCGGATTTGAATAGTCTCTGTCGCGGGAAGGGTCGATCCTTGCTCTATGGTACATACCATTGTTAGTACCGACACAATGTTTACATCCACGAGCAATGCACATTAAACCACTTCAATATGATCATGTTTTATGTTCATGATATTTGCCTCAGAGACTCTGTTAGGTTGAACGCCCTAAGGATCCTATTGCCTTGATTCAAATCTGAGTTTTTCTCTTGATTTGCCTGAACTTTGCCTTTTGTAAATAACACGATCTATCATCTCTTGAGAAGGCCGACACGATCCATACCCATGGCAAGCCTTGTAATTTAGTTTTAAAGGCTCTCCTTTTTGCCGTACTAAGAGGAACATTATAATAGCTGCCAAATTCCACCTCGGTGGTGTCACGACCCCGGGGTCGAAGTCTGTTTCCCGCAGTTCCGAATGGTGTGATTCGTACCATCCACCCATAACTCATGGGAAAAAGATGAGTGTATAAACTTGACAAGAAAAATGAAATGAGGCTCATCCATCAATCGCGAGGGCATCCGTGTTGGGGGAGAGCTGAGATTTCCAAACCATTAATGCTGAAGACAATAACTTTTGTTTGGCATATCATGTACCTTCTTTCTATAATGAGCTTTTGGATGTTTTCTATAATCGCTATTTACCACCGCCTTTAAATACCATTATAACCTTGTCCTCCAACCCATGGGCGCGATGTTTACCGTGTAACTGGAGTAACGACCGAGTTGTGGGGGTTGAATTGCATCAGGTGGGCGTGTGGCGGGGTCTGCTCACGGCCTCGATCAAGGGTCAGCGTCAGCGTCAGTGTCAGGTCAAATTCGAGTTGAATTCCCTGTGTTGGGAATGTTAGTTTCTCGTAATATAACTGTTAGTTACTGCAGACGAGCTGGTGTACATGTACATGTATGACAGGACGAGCGCTTCTACCGTCGGAGTCCAGGACTGCACTGTCTGCAAAAAAAAGAAGAGATAACACGGAAATGTATATGAGATAACTACTCCGATCTTAAATTCTTTAATCTGCAGAATAACACAGGAAATCTTCCAAAGCACTGGAATTTATAGTCTGGGCGTCTTCAGAGTACAGCAAATCCGATGAGGAACGACCTCTGTTGACCCAAAGACATTGGTTGGCAAAGCAGACGAGTACTTCCGTGGGCGTTGCTGTTTGCTAGTCTCTCATTGAACAGTGGTTACGTAACATATCATTACGCATGCACACTTATCTTTGTCACGGACCAGTAACGGCTTTTCGTATGCGATACCGTTACACACGTATTATGTGGGTGTACATGTAGATGTGCCAAGTGCCGACCTGCAGACTGTGAACGTGGCATCAGCACATAACGGACCGATTAACCTCCTCACCTTCAGAAGGACATCGAGAGATCAAGCCTCTCCATCGATTGTACACTCATTTAAACACTTGTTTTGTTCAGAACAATACGAAGTGGTGTGAAATATGGCTGCGCTACAATTAAATGTGGTAGACATCATTGTTATCTGCGCCTATTTTCTCTTCGTTCTGCTCGTCGGGTTATGGGTAAGTCTTAGATTATTGATTACGTCGGGGCAAGGGCGGATCCAGAACACATTTTTTGGGGGGGGCAAAAAAAAAAATTTGGTCCCCAAAAAAGTGGGTCAAAAAAATTACGGCATGGGGTTCGGGGCCCGCTTAAGGGCCCCGAAATTTTTTTGGATTCTAGAGCTCTGTGGTGCGATCTGAGGCAATTTCTGACCACTTTAACCAATGTTTTTGAGGAAAAGATAGTGGTGTACTCATTGCCTGCCTTTATTGCGATGTCACATAAAAAAAAATTAAAAATCGGTTTCGTTTTTTTTGGGGGGGGGCCATGGCCCCCTTTGGCCCCCCCCCCCCCCCGGATCCGCCTTTGCGTCGGGGAAGCGATTCGGGAATTGTATTTTACTTCACATATTTTGGTGATGTTGAAGAAAGACCTCATTCCTTTTATTAGTCTAACAGCATTCATATAAAGAAATGTGAATGCGTACATACACAAACGAATATTGATTACTTGGCATCTACCATGGCAGTTGCGTTTGACGTTCTAGAGATTGCACGCATTATTTTGTACGAGTCTCGCATAAATTATTACCTTATGAGGCTTCCATGCCTGCACCGATTTTCCCTTCTGTTAGGACAATTGTTATCGGTTAATTAATGTATCGCAAGATATTTGTTTACAACCTCATCAGTATAGTATTAGTAAGAAGTATTGTGGTCCTCAAGGACCAAAAATAATGGCGAAATATGAGACACCCCGGATTAAGTTCAGAAAATCTGAAGGCTTATATGCTCATAACCGGAACTGCTCATCAGCGCCAAAAGAGATTGTTCACTGATACTAGTTATAGGATAGGAAGACATTGTGAGCAGGCGAAGATGTTAAGTCGTTAAGTCAGCTGTGTAATTATTGAATACGGTATTTATGTACTTATGTAAGTTTCAGCAATTTCCGTTACGTTTTATGAAATTCCTCAGCAACTTTATTTCCTACAGTTTTGAAAAAATAAGAGACCATTCGAAATGGTACGCAAACGGGACACGCGAGCGCTTGGAAAATGGTGCTCGAAATGATCACCAGTCACTTGCGTGGTTGTTGCATCTGTCATACTTCGGGCAATGTGCATCGTACAATGTCATTATTTGTGTTCGAGCTACATACTGTATCGCGTACCCGCACATTGTCCTCATGTATTTCACAATGGCGCAGTCGAGTATATAGGCCTACGTGTACAAGTACACGTACCAAACTATCGAGAACCACTCGCATCCGAGTACTTTGACCGTTGAGAACGATGCATGTACATGTAGGCCTATGATTCCAAGTAGGCTACTTGGACATGAGTACAACTTTTGTGAAGCCAAGTCTGAGTACGTGGACCTCCGGGTACAAGTACCAGTATGGAGTACTCAAGTGAAAACAAAATCGCAAGAAATGGCTGGAAAATTAACCACCAATTCAGCAACATGGATGTTGTGGACTACTTTTCAGCAAGACTTCTTGAATAAAAGCCAAGCTGCATAGAAATAGTGTGTAGATGTTCTTTCCATTCGTCCTAGTATTAAATTACTCGTTTTCCCCCAAGTCCGTATTATCGAGAACGAGCACTTTGATGTTGGCGATATCGAATAGGCCTGTGCTTCTCGAGCAAATTTGAGTCCCAGTATTTTCATATTCGAATATTCGAGTGCGAGTGCGAGTATGAGTATTCTCAAAAGTACTCTTGTTGAGTCCATGTCATGTGCGCAAAGCACGAGCTTGAGTTATTCATAACGGATTGGAAGACCTTCATGTACATGTACGTACACTAATGGGTGTGTCTCTATGTAAACCTTCAAGGTTTGAAAAGTTTGTTAGTGGTGATGTTGTCAAAGCAGAGAGCAGCGAGACCATTTTTGTTTCGAGGAGCAGCAGGCCTATGGGGGCCGCGCTGCCACCGCAACCCAACGTAAATAGGGCCACATTTTGACGCACTTGGCCAATCTGGTACTTTCACAACTGATCTCCACGAAAAGCATTGCAAAAAATGCCACACACCTAAATGCCAAGGAAATAATACGGGACTGTTTTCAAACGGTTATGGGCTCACTCGTTGGGCACATCTCCATTCTGGTGGACAGGTTTCCAATTTACAATCTGCACTTTGTTTACCGAAAACCAACATTTTGTCTATACGTAAATGATTATTTTGCCTAAAACCTTGTAATTCTTAAACTATTTGAATCACTGATTTTGTTTTGATTTTTCGTTATTATTCAAGCAATAAACCAGTTATTTCGTCATCAAAAAGCCTAACGTTTCGTTATGGCAAAGGTAGCCTACTTTACAACATTTCGATTTTTTTGCTACCCAAAAATAATTCAGGTGGCAAGGTTTTGTATTGCATGCGCACTAAAAGCAAATAAAAATCCCCCCTCCCATCCCGGGTTGTAGACGCCAACAAGAGAAAAGGTGTTGCTGTTTTGTGAAACAAAAATACACATTGAAAATTCGTTTGGAGAATAAAACAATCAGGACGACACATCTGCGTCAATGCTAATTAAAACCAGACCTATGCCGTAAACAAACGAGTATTGATTCCACGCACTATGCACATTAAAAAAAGTCTGATGCGAATGACGTCAATTCATTTCATTTTCAGAAAGATCTCATTGTGTCACGTTCTTTGGATAACCAAGTTCAAAAGAGAATCGAACAAATTGGCAAGCAACGTATTCATTTTTTGGCGTAATCAATATTAAATTTATACGTTGCACGACTTCAAATATAAACACCGGTTTGAATGATGTCTATTCCTTCCTCCATGATGATTTCAACTTGCTGTCACTAATTCAAACGTTTGGAGTAAACGTCAGGTTGTGAATTTCGTCAGGTTGTTAATCACATGTTCAATCACATGCTCAAACTGTTTTCTCCGTGATCTGTTGGTCCCAGTACAATAATGCTTAAACACAATAATACTGTTATTAACGAATAATTCAGCAAGAAAATCGACATTGTGTGTACATTATCCCTGGAGGAAGGAATAGCCTGTACATGATGTATACATATTGTCAACAAACAACAGCTTAGGTAGCCGTGGCACTTTCATTGTATGAAGCAGTCTGGTTGCGTAACTGGTGGAAGGCGTGTACGGAGGCTTGTCATGAGTTTGCGCATTGAGGAATACCGCCAACAATGTATATCCAGATAGGCCTTTGTGTGTTTCGCCCGCTGTGTCTTGCCTGTCTGAACGGATAATTTGCATAATACTATGGCTCTGACTATGGAGCTCCATGCTCTGACCAGACGTATTTTGAGGGAATGGTGCATGGCAACCTCGTCCCCAGGATGTCGAGCAGTACGCGCCCATCACTACCTGCTCTCTCACCCTGGTATTGGATCATTTGCATGTGCAAGATTTTTGAACACGTATGCAAATGAGGAACAGTCTGGTGCCTGGATATGTGTTACAATAGCGTTTGTTTTTGTATGCGGTGTCTGGGGTAAAAGCAGAGTCAATGCGTCACAGCGCGAGCACGGCGTGAGTTACGAAAACACGATTTTAAAAATTAAACTGTTACGATCTTATCGAGACAACATGCAGTATCATATTTCATATTAATGTGAACAAATTGGACAGGAAATTAGTATTTTCGAGAAGGCGTGGACGAATGATCGCGAAAATACGTACTGCACGTTGTGAATAATAACACCATGTACACGATAAAAATCCATTACTAGCCAATTGCGGTATCGAATCAGGATACAGGAAGAAAGTTTCCTATCCAGGGCTTGTACTATTGGAAACGAGGTTGGGTGCATGGTGACGGTACATGATTTACAGTGGTAGGCCCCCTAATCCACCGTTGTAATCAGAGGAAATTTGAAATCTGAAAGTTTTAATAATCAATTGACAGTGATGATCAAGTTTGGAGGATATATTAAACACAGATGTCATTTTACATATTGTATTTATCATTCGAAGTTTCGAAAGCAGTTGTTTTCTTAATTCAAAGAATTACAGCGCCTCGGTAAAGATCATTAAATACTACGGTGGCTCAAGCTTATCATTTTCAGTCCAGCAGCATCTGTGCATTAGGGATTGATCATTCTATTCGGTCAGTGGACGGAATTGGTTTATTGATGTATTGATCATTCGATTTTGAATGGATTACTCACAGCTTTACCTATGGCGACATTTTGCTGTACCAACTTGCATTGATTCATTGACTAACACATCAAAAACAAATATGGATATTTTTGGATAGGCCTACGGTTTCGTCTCGCAATAATGCTTAAGCTTAATCATGCGTAGAAACACCAACTTCCGTTTTCCATATATACTTGAAGAGGCTACACAATGTTTAACCACCCACGCGTGATCTGACCATAGGGCTATAACCCTATGTTCTGACTAGTACCCGCACAGGCCAGTAAAAATGATAAAGTCCTGGTAGGCTGTATGGGGGGAAAAAGAGGGCACCCCGAAAAATACAAATTCTTGTTTAAATTGGTATTTTGCTAGCACTACAAAAGTTACTAGTTTAGCTTTTGAATGAGACATCGAACGAAAAATATCAGCACATATTGAGTTACGGAATTATGACTTAACAAATATAGACTTATTTGCGGCCCAACCATAATGTATATAATTCCTGTATAAAAATCCATTTGTAGCGACGTAAAGTTGTCAACAATAAGAAACCGTTATCTGAAATCTACGCATGGCACCTGTATCCAATTTATCATCTCGCAGGTTGTAAAACAAGGTGTTTTATGGCACCGACTACTGTATTTTACGCTACCCATCAATACTACAAGTACTCGTGAAGTGCTTTGAAAACAGTAGTTTGCTCATACGATTGCTATCTGAATAAGGTGTGGTTGCATGAGGATTTTTCAGTTGACGTGGTTTTTAGCTCAATAATGAAGGGGAATTTGCAGACATAATGTAATAGGCCTACATTATATAGCTACCTTCGCCCTCACTTTAGCCTTTCATCCCCCTCTCATGATAGGAGAGTGTCGCTATCTTTTTGTCGTCTGTGACGCCTTTTTGGAACTGCACTCGTGTTATTGTTGTTGTTTATTTTACTTTTGCATGGTTTGACTGCAAACCTTTAGGCATGTAGGCCTACTAACCCGATATCACTGTATTAAACACTTGCTAGGCTACTACTGTGCTGCTCCTTTTAAACTTGCTGGTGTGCGCGACGAGGATAGGATCAGGTGAAGTGTTGTTAGCCTCAGTAATCATGATATGGAACAGACCCCGCCCTCTTTCAATACACCCAATCGTTCTTAAGCTAATTTGACAAAAAGGGCTAAAATAGCTACATGTAAGTTCACATTACCCTGCTGTTAAGCATCAGTTTCTGACATTGTAAGGAAGAAGAAGCATGTCCACATTATTTACATTTTCTTACAAAACTTTTTCGGCTCGTGTGTCCCGCGCGCGAGCAGCAAGGCCTGTGTTGGATGCAAAGTACCATCTGATATCTCTGCCCGCTTGAGACAGCGACAGAACTCTGATCCAAACACTAGTAAGTCAATCGGTCTACAGATACTCTGCAACCGTTGAACACTATAACTGCTCACTATAATGTAATACAGTACAAAAAAAATGCAAATGTAGTACAATGTTATCGCTATAGTATTTATAGGGATACCTCAGGCAAGCCGGCCACGCTACACAACAGTGACGGATCTAGAGGGGGTTTGGGGGTTGCGACGTTCAGCCGCTGACTATAATGCAGGGGCGTAGCAAGGGCATTCTCATTGGGGGGGGGGGGGGTGGAAGTAATTTTGCCGACTGAGAGCCCAGCGAGCGCGAAGCCCTTACGGCGTGTGGGACGGGGCCCGCTTAAGGGCCCCGGAAAGTTTTGGATTCTAGATGCTCTGTGGTGCAATCTGAGGCATTTCCTGGCCAATTTCCTCCGACTTTTTGAATTTGTTCTATTTTGGGGATCGGTTTTTATATTTATTTATTTATTTAATTCCGAGAGGAACTCGTCACTGTGAACTCGTCACCAAAGGGGGAGGGGCATGGCTGGCATCATTACATGATGATTAACCCCAAGATATAATCATCGCCTCCTTTATGAACAGTTCACTGCATAAATCGCGCTTTTGTTCCACAGTTCAGGTCAGTGTACAAATTCCACTGTTTCAGGTCAGGGCAAGGCTAAGATTTCAGATTTATAGGTCTGTGGCAACTTGAACTGATGTAAGGACCATACGATTTATTAATATTACTGTTATGTGGCAACTTTGAATTCGGTGACCTGAATGGTCACTAATAATTCTCAAGTCTAACAGAACTTAGTGTCAACTGGGGTCAATGTTCAACTCAATAAACGAATACTAAGAAGTGTTTTGCTCTTAAAGCCATCTTCTGTGTTTAATTTGGAGGCCCTAAATGCCGACCGAGGGAAGTTATTGGGGAGGGGGTGTCACGCACCCCCACCCCTGTTTGCTACGCCCCTGCTAGTATAATGCTATGATACTAGTAAAATGTGGCAAACAAATAAAGTTCCTAAATTTATTCTACCAATTTCTTAGAAGGCTGTATATAGAAAGCATCGTATAGCTTTCCAAATTTTCCGGGGCGGGGGGGGGGGGAATGCCCATGGACCCCCGTAGCAAGCCTTCGCTCAACCTCTTCCTTCATATCACCCACTAGTTTCCTGATAGCTACATCTGTCCCTAAAATAGGGTAAGTACAATGTATGAGTTAAAAAAAAAAACCAATGAAACCCAAATGTCGGGACTACTGTTTCAGTGAAATTCTGTATGCATGGGCGTCAATCCGGGGGGGGGGGGGGCAGGGGGACATGTCCCCCCACTTTTTGAAGGATGGTGGACACAATATCAAATCCCCCCCCCCCCATTTTTGAACTAGTGACTCATTTACAGGGCCCTATTATGTACTACAATGCATCTTTTGCTAAGAAAATATTGGTTAACTTGAAAGTAGTCAGAAATCGCCTCAGATCGCACCACAGAGCATCTAGTTCTAGAATCTTTTTTTTTCTCCGAGGCCCTTAAGTGGGCCCTGAACCCCACGCCCATGGCTCAGAATAGCTGATTCAATGACTCCAACCTCGAAAACGATGTTCAAATTATTATCTTTTGCTAAGAAAATATTGGTGGTCAATAATTGCTTCAGATCACACCACAGAGCATCTAGAATCCAAATTGTTTTTTTTTCGGGGCCCTTAAGCGGGCCCCGAACCCCACGCCGTAAGGGCTCAAGGGCGGATCCAGGGGGGGGGGGGGGCAAAGGGGGCCATGGCCCCCCCCCCCCCCAAAAAAAACCCCGAAACCATTTTTTTTTTTTTTTATGTGACATCGCAATAAAGGCAGGCAATGAGTACACCACCATCTTTTCCTCAAAAAAAAACATTGGTTAAAGTGGTCAGAAATTGCCTCAGATCGCACCACAGAGCATCTAGAATCCAAAAAATTTTCGGGGCCCTTAAGCGGGCCCCGAACCCCACGCCATATTTTTTTTTTACCCACTATTTGGGGGGACCAAAAATTTTTTGGGCCCCTCCCCAAAAAAATTGTGTTCTGGATCCGCCCTTGTAGGGCTTCGCGCTTTGCGCTCGCATCAGTTCTAATCAAGGTATGCCCCCCCCCCCCACTTTTCAGAAGCGATTGACGCCCCTGACTGTATGTAGCACTTTCAACATCTGGGATATGAAAGCCAAATTCAAACGCTTTCTTTTAGCATAAGAATCATTCAAATCACTCGTATACTTTTCAAGTTACGGAATTTTAAACACAACAACCGTTTCCACCGATCACAAAAAAGGTGTGCGTTCTTTCAGCAAAACGAAAACAATTCACACACACATCACTATGTGATTTGTTTAAAAGGGACACATTTAATAGAGACAGAACAGGCCTACAGACAGTTCATTCGGTGGGTGGTGGAAACACTCTCAAATCGGTTGCAGCTGTGTTATGGGAAGAAATATGCTTCCACTTGTAAATGATGTTGAGGCTTTGTCAGAAATACATGTTTGTTAACATGTAAAGTTTCTGCAATTGTTTCTTATTGACTTTCAGTGTATCCGTACAGAAAAATTGTCTCTCTGGGGGTCAGGCCCGTCAAAATTGTTTTATATCCAATTGTTGCAGACAGGCGGACATGATTATTACTATCATTGTTATAAAAAAGGGTCAGAGCGGAGGGGAGGGGTTTGACCCCCCCCCGATCCGCACCTGCATTGAAGGGGGCCTTCGTGATAGTTCGTGCCTATAGATTGGTCTGTATAACTCGACCATAGGAAACACTATTGGTTTGACCTCCAGGACAAACAGAACGCTATGAACCTCTCTGCTTTGTTTGCCTGGTTTGAATTTGCAAGCCGCAAACACCTCTTTTTTGTTTGAGAATAAACAACGAATAAGGGCACACGCCCTTCATGGGTCAATATAACAACTTTAAATCAAATATGCAAGACTAATATATTTTTATTCACATACATGTATTTGATTTTATTGGATGTGAAGTCACTAAGTTATCTTAAAATGAGGGTCATCGGGTATTGAGGACGACAAAAGGCAGACTGAACGTTTTCGAATGTTCTATCTTGTTTTCTGCCTTTCTGCTAACAGAAAAGCAGGATTTACATTTTAATAAATACATTTTTCTGCTTTATTTCCCTCCTCTGCTGGCGGACGAAAAGTGGACATCTGCTTCTCTCTTGCTCGACGAGCAGAAAATCGGATCTAAAAACGTTTCCATTTTCTGCTTTTGTAATATAGCTGAAAAGCAGATTTTACCGACGGCCGAAAAGTGGCCATTTGCTTTTCTCCTTTCAGGAAAGCAGATAAGCCGGTCGAAAATGTTTACAGCTGTGTTCTATTTTTCTGCTCATCAGAAAAGAAAGTTTTACTTCGGCGGCCGAAAAGTGGCGATTTGTTTTTATGATCTGACCACTTTTCGGAAAGCAGCAAAATAGTAGTTGCTCGATCTGCAGCTTGCTAGCATCTTCGAAAGCAAAAACGCAAATGGCCATTTTAACGTGTGGTGGTCCTCACATCTCACACATGAACAATCAAACCTGTTTTATATACTCTTCTTCGCTCGTATCACTTTTCAAAAAATCTGACAATGTCAACCAGGCTCATCCAAGGGGTTACCTCAAAGCATAGTCATTGTTGCCAAAGTTGTTTTCCGTACACATATCCTCAGACTTTCAGAAAGATTCTGGAAAACAAATAAAACTGAAAAAGATATATAGCGAGAAAACCGGATAAAAGAATATACACTGTATATCCCTCACTTTCTTATCATTTGAGATTTTTTTATGATTATTTTTTACTTATTCGGTTTATTCAAGAAACCTGATCGGTTAGCCTACATCATACAGAGTTTAATGTATGACAGTTAAATGGGTTATAATCAGTTATACCATGGAGTTCTCATTCCTCCATGGTTATAACTGGAAAACGGAATGTCATCCCTTCCAAAACAGTACTTTTTACCCGGCGTCAATTTTCCTTCACCTTGATCACGAATCCACATGGGTCATGTTGTCAAGATAAGTATTATTTTGTTTGAGCAACCTTCATTCTTTTGATATGAATACTTTTGTGTTACATGCATTTAATTGCAGGCGTCCTTCCAATCCTCCCGCGGAACACTGAAGGGATACTTCTTGGCAGGGAAGAACATAGTATGGTGGCCCATAGGGGCCTCGTTATTTGCTAGCAACATCGGTAGTGGTCATTTCATCGGCTTGGCAGGCACGGGGGCCGCGTCTGGACTCGCTGTCGGTGCCTTCGAATTCAATGTAAGTTATTGACGTGGCGCTGTATACATGGGGGTGGTGCAAAAAGAAGGAAACCCACTTTTGACAGCAATTTTCACCTAGTACTTGTTGAGCATACTTCAAGAAATCAATTTGATGGTATTAAAATATTTATCTTTAAACATATGTGACGAAAAAGTGATTGCAAATGCATATTTTGTCTCAGAGATAATTTACGGGTGTTTAAAAATCTCCTGTGCCAAACCTGTTTGTCCACGGACGGCTTATTCTAGCCGCTTGAACTCCGGAGCTTTATTTGAAGACACAAAAAATCCTCTACACTAGACTTACACGTGGACAACAGTGATTTTGGTGACTTGTATTCAAATTAGCATGACACTATACTCTTACGATTTTTTTCAAAGATTTTGTCACCACGTATACTTCACTATACATAATTTAAAAAAAAAGCAGTTCAAGTAAGTTAAGTAGGAAGTAGTTTAAAATTCCTGTCAAAAGTGGGTTTTCTTCTAATAGCACCACCCTGTAGTTTAAAGGATTCCTATATAGGATTAGCTCAAATATGTGAATTAAAAGTTTGAAAGGTGTTTTTTTACCACAATCACATCATTCATTACAGTTATATTTTTGTACGTGCGATGTCATACAAAGCAGCATAATTTCAACAACCTTTTATGGGTCCATGTAGGTTGGTGCCTGACCGGATGCTTTTTGAACATACTCCCTATACAGCGACCAGATTCGCATCCAAAGACAAGAACGACCGAACGGTTGTATTTTAAATGACACCAATTGGCGATAGACCAATTTGGGATTGTTTTAGTACTCGTTAAGCCTCGCTTTGGAATCTACGAAACGGAGGTAGTACACTCTACTGCCAGAGTATGCATATTGATTGAAGTGATTTTGAACAATTTGACCTCGTTCATTTTAACCAATAACTGTAATTGCTCGTTCTCAACAGGCCATGTTTATTCTTCTGCTGCTTGGCTGGATATTCGTGCCCGTCTACATGTCATCTGGGGTACGTAACTATAGACTCTCAGTCTTACCGATAACAGAAATACCCTACGGACGCATAAACGGACTTGAAGTAATACCGAAAAGGCCCCAAACAGTTCTGCCACGGGAAAAGAATAACATAATGTAATAGCCAAGAGCCAATACCTATATTTTACAATACATAAATAATTAGAAAGCCAGATAAAATACAAACAGTGTGCATGCAATGTTGATAATTTTGGTGATTGTCAATACATGGATTAATTTTGCTTAGTAAATCAGGAGCTATTCTTACGGAGTAACTACTATTTTTTGCAATTTTTTTGCCAGCTATTGGCACGACATTACAGCAGTTGATTGTTGGCTGGTATCATGTGGGATATTTTGGTGTTTGATTAAAATTGTTTCCACCTTCACGCGTGCCTTCGCCGTAGGCGTCACTTCGTTGTATTTATAAAAAAAAAAGACAATATATCTAATCATGTATGGCTGACTTTAGGTATAAGTTGAAGAGGGATTAAAAGTAATTGCATATAGAGACACAGATTAAAAAGCACGCATGCCGTCTACTTGAGGCCACATTTCCACTGCCTATCATCGCCTGAATTTAATATATTCATGCGTGGAACGCCAAGCTGCAAAACGCTGCCAGATAATCGTCAATTTAATGGCACGCAAGGCCTTTGGTCTCGTTCACTTCAAAGGAGGTTGCCATGGCTAACTGAGATCAACTAGAGCTAGAGACGCGATACTCGAGCAAACAGTAATCAAGCGAGGTGAACTTTGAACACTATTCATGTATTCATTAAGATGGCAATCTTCTTTCAGAAATGACCGCCTTGTCCCATGCAGAGACTGGGTTTATAAACGTTTTGGACGATATGCATTTGGATTCTATATTATGAAGGCCCGGTTTTCTCATTGTTTTATCTATTGTTATTTTGAAATTGGATATCATGTATTATTTCGAGGATATTTTGCCATTGAAGATGACTTGGATCAAATGATATCAATGATGAGGATGAACTTAAACATACTGATTTGAAATTTGAGGATGGAAATAGTGGTAAATCGTTTTGTTCAATCATTGCATGCATGCATGCTGTTAATAACATTAAATTAAAATGGCCATATGTGAGCTACTATTTGAGTTACTAATTGCCAAGGGCGGATCCAGAACACAATTTTGTTGGGGGGCTAAACAAAATATTGGTCCCCCCAAAAAGTGGGTAAAAAAAATTACGGCGTGGGGTTCGGGGATCGCTTAAGGGCCCCCCAAAAAAATTGGATTCTAGATGCTCTGTGGTGCGATCTGAGGCAATTTCTTACCACTTTAACCAAATTTTTTTTGAGGAAAAGATGGTGGTGTACTCATTGCCTGCCTTTATTGCGATGTCACATAAAAAATAAAAAAAATTGGCTTCGTTTTTTTTTGGGGGGGGGGCATGGCCCCCTTTGGCCTCCCCCCCCCCCTGGATCCGCCCTTGCTAATTGCTTGGTTTTATGTTTCTCCCTTTTTTCCCATATAATATTGCACAGTATTAGTAAGAAGTTAATAATTTTAAGGCATGTGGCTGGCACACAAGTTTTCAGACTAGATCCAATGTGTTAAATTGCAGGTTTTTACTATGCCTGAATATCTACGGAGGCGTTTTGGTGGACAGCGTGTTCGTGTCTACCTTGCCTGCCTGGCACTGCTGCTCTCTGTACTGACCAAAATATCGGTGAGTGGGGTACTTGGACTCGAGTGAGTTTATGAGTTGCTTTGTGGACAAGTCTTAGGACGTGCCTGTAATGGGACTTTCTCCCTCCCGAATTTTCTTTAGAAGATCCGCAGACCCTGTGAACCTGAACAGCTGTCTTCTCCTGTACACTGTAAAAACGCAGAGCAACTAACCACAATCTTGCTATCACTTTGTAAACATGTTTAGTAGCCAAACATTCCGTGTCCAATTCCTTAACGCCAATAATCAATGGCTAAACACTATCCATCAATATCATAAACATGTTTACAAACTGATAGCGGGAAAGTGTTTAGAAAAGTGGTTATTTGCTAAACACGGTTTTTGCGTGTCATTTGATATTCGTTTAATGAAGTTAATGTGGGGCCTATTCAAATGAACTTTTAATGACATTTTTTCGTCTTCAGCGTAAAATACCAGCACATCTTCAATGTAAGACGTTTTCCAAATACTTCAGTTTCCATTTATTTACAGTATATATCATTTACACACACTGTTGAATGCCATCTTAGTCTGATTGTATTGCGCAACCTGTAACCTTTGAACTTGTCTTTTCTTGTTGACAGGTTGATATGTATGCCGGGGCTCTGTTTATTCAGGAGTCTCTGCAATGGAACTTGTACGTTGCCATCGTGTCGCTTCTGGCTATAACCGCTCTGTACACGGTGGCTGGTAACAGAATAATTGCCTATTCAACTTTAACATTTAATATTTAACATTTTTATGTAACTTCGTTAGCTCCTATTCACTAACACAATATCAAAAGCTTTTTAAAATACAATAATCAAAATGCAAAAGACATCCATAAGAAAAACAATTACACTAAAGCACAAGAGCACGCTTTATTCTACTCAATCAAGCTTTATTCCACTCATGACGTCGGACAAGCTGTGTTTGACAAAGACAAAGTTGGCAGTTTAAATGGCATATTGACAACGGCACTGTCCGAATGAAAGTAACGATTTAACATTCACAGAACCAAAACAAAGATTGGTTCTGGTGTGATATAGCGCCATAATCGCCAGTAAAGTCTACAATATCAAGTTTAGTAACAACATGACGAAGTCTCTTGGCACAGTGCATAATTCTAAGTATTTTATGAGTTTGTTTTTTAAAGAACGGTAAGAAACAGGACTATGCATTGTATTTTAGCTTACTGAATTGATGTTTGAATGATATTTAGGTATGACTGACACCTTTATTTGAAAAAAAATACTCAAAGAATATTACTTTTTTGTTCCATTCAGGTGGTTTATCAGCTGTTATCTACACGGACGCGTTGCAGACCGTTGTTATGGTTATTGGTACCTTCATTCTTATGATACTAAGTAAGTTCAAAAGACTTTGAATCGTTAAAGGGAATATACATCATTTGCTTTTGCTGTAATTTTCAGAAATGGATGGAATTGGGGGTTGGAAATATAAAGCAAATATAGTTACACTGACTTTTTGAGTTTTGGGTTCGAAAATGCTATAAAAACCAAGAAAAACGATCATTTTCCTGTAGTCTGGATCCCTGACTCCATATAAGAAGAAACAGAGCAGTTTACATACATTGGGGAATTGTAAGGTCAGGGAACCAGTCTAGCTGGCTCGTATCCGTTCATAGGTTTGTAATCGATTGCAAACAAGTGCAATGGTCAATTGGGGCCAGTATTTGAAAAAAAGCCAGTTGTTCCAACGCTGATCGGCCGATCAGCGTTGGAAATTGATACAAAAATACCACTTTTCTTGAAAATGACAGTATACCAGGTGCCATAATTTTACAGGATGCTTTTGACTGTCATTTACCAACATCCTGTTAAGGTATTTCCCAAAAACTTGATAGTTTTATTTTTCGATGTTTGCAAATGTTGTATATTCCCTTTAAATATCTCATGCAAAGAAAATTTAGGCCTATTTTGTTCAAGCAGTGTAGAAATTATTCTTAATTTACTACCACTGTATAATGTAGATATGCTACACATGTATATCAATGTTGTTATTGATAAATACTCTCCTCTTGCTCATCAGGTTTCCAACGTGTCTCTTGGGACGAACTACACATCCTGTACCCCCAAGCTATCCCCAACACCACCTTGGCTAATCCGAATTCCACTTGCGGCTTCCCACGCGAAGATGCTTTTCATATCTTCAGGGATCCTGTCAACTCGGACCTTCCATGGCCAGGAATGATCTTTGGTATTACTATCTCCTCCATCTGGTACTGGTGTACTGATCAGGTAGCTTACACATATACTTTGAACTTTTGACCGAGTATTATCGAGTATCTGGGTGTTTTTGTTTTTTTTGTTTAAAGCCTACGGAAACTTTCGAAGCACTAACGTTTCTAGGAGCAGTCAAGGCTATTCCAGCTAGAGGGTAGTGCTATAATTGGGTAAAAATATCAATCACCTGAGACGTATGTAATTCTCGAATGTGCAAGGACACTTGGAGTATCTTTCTTTGTTTTGTTTTTCCAGGTGATTGTCCAGCGTACATTGGCTGCTAAGTCAATTTCCCACGCAAAAGGTGGCACGGTCTTTGCGGGTTTCTTGAAGACTCTGCCTATGTTTCTCATCGTCTTACCTGGCATGATAAGCCGCATACTCTTCCCCAATGAAGTAGCATGTGCCACGAAGGAAACTTGTCTGGCAGAATGCGGAAGTGAGACCGGATGCTCGAACACAGCATTCCCCAAACTTGTCCTAGACGTCATGCCTGCAGGTATACAACTCTAAATTGTTCGTTTTTATCCATGATACTCTGTACTATGCATATTCGGGATAAGAAGAAAATGCTTCAATGCAACGAAGAGTATCATGTGAAAAACATATGCCTAATATACATAGCGTTTTTATTAAAGAATTTTGTGGCTCAAAACTTGAGAAAATAAGTTGGTTCATCAATAGCTAAGTTGGCGAATCAGGAATGAGCTTACATAATGGATATCATGCTCCTAATTTTGCCTAATTAATTAAAATTCACCTGTTTCTCAAAGCTAGCCTTATACAAGTCATGTACATAAAAGAAAAACAAGTCTGTGCAGTTGCAACATGTGGCTTTTCTGCTGTATGGAGACACAATATCCAAATGATCACGCTTGCTCTTTATTCCTAGGTTTACGCGGCTTGATGCTGGCTGTTATGCTGAGTGCCCTCATGAGTTCCCTGACGTCTATTTTCAACAGCAGCAGCACCATATTTACTATTGACATATGGCGGCGGATCAGGCCACGTGCAAGCGAAACAGAACTGATGATTTGTGGACGGTGAGTGTATCATCGCCTTTCCTCGAATTGATTTCTCTCCCTTCCATGCCTCACTCTTTCACGCCTCATCAATTTCGACAAGTTGATTTGCAGCCACTTCAAGCTGTTTGTATACTTTTATGAACTCCCTCTTCTATCGATATGTACAAACAGACTGTCAATGTATTTGTTCATTTCATAATGTGCCTCAGCCAATTATGATATGCATCTGTCCTTTCCATCACTTGGCTCTTGTTCCTTTCATCAACTTCGCGTTTGATCCTTCGATCAACCTGGTGTTTCGATCCTTCGATCTACTTGGCCTCTTGTTCCTTCCATTCACTGTCTTGGCCTCTTGACCTTTCCATCTGCCATGCATCTTGGTTCTTCCATCCGATTTACCTCTTGGTCCTTCCATCTTCATTGCGTCTTTATCATCTCCATTTGCCTCTTGGGCTCTTGGCCTTTTGATCAGGGGAAGATCTATGCAGGAAAGGGGGAGGGTCACGTGAAGGCGTGCCGTACACAGGCCTTGGTAGGGAGGTCGAGGTGCATGCCCCCTGGGAAATTCGGAAATTTATTACGCTTTCTCCTGCATTCTAAGGCAATTTGATAATACATGTTGGAACCTTAGCATTCCATTTATTATTTGGCCCCATTAGTCAGCGGCTGAAGGGGGGGGGGGGGGGTTCGTACACTTGGCTTTAACCCTTCCATACTTTCGTCCTCTAGATCATTCCTCTAGATAAGCTTATCAATTTTGCTTTTTCATCCTCTAAAACCACCTTGAACCACCTCGGTCTCTTGAACCTGCTGTTCAGTCTTTGTCTCTTTCTGCAGGTGTTTAATAATTTCCTGGTTTTGATCAAATTCCCTGTCATATTCGCAATTCAAGATAAGTGATTGTCCAGGTGCTTTGTAGCTTATAAATGTTTATATAGTCCTCAGTTTGCCTCCTATCCGTTCCTTTGTCCCCCGCCCCTCGCAATTCTTTCTCCTCTCGCCCTTTTGCATGTTACTTTTACATCTAATTATCTCATCGTACTTTTTGTCGCAGTGTTTTTATTCTTGTGATGGTTGGAATCAGCATTCTGTGGATCCCTATAATCCAAGCAGCTCAAGGAGGTCGCCTTTTCGACTACATACAATCAATAACGAGCTACCTGTCACCTCCCATCTGCGCTGTGTTCATCCTCGCGGTTGCTTGGTCTAGGATAAATGAGAAGGTAGAATACAATCATCATGGCATTGGGCCATTTCGTACTTGTTATAAAAATGACGTAGATGTAACGAGTCAAAAAGACGGTGACAGACAGAAAAAAATATGTTGTTTGCTCCATTTAATAAAAATAACATGAGAATAAAGTATGTGTTATTGACTTATAACTGTGAACATTTCACGTAATTTGCATACTCTGTTAACAAATTGGTTCTATTTTAATAGAAATATCACAAAACTGTGCGCCACTGATTAATACATTTAAATGCAATAACCGAAAGCTTGTTAAGGAATTGTCCGTAGCTGGTGACAATGCATTCCAGGCACATGCACCTCGGCTCTGGAATGATCTCCCGCAGCACATCCGACTGTGTCCTTCCTTGGATGTCTTTCGAAAGACCCTTAAGACATATTTATTTGATTGAGATTCATGTTTTCATAATTTTCTTGTTAATGTTCAGCATATTTTTGTGTGTGTGATTTATTTGTTGTTCAGCGCTCTGAAACCATCTTTGAGTAAGAGCGCTATATAAATGACTTTATTGTATTGTATTGTATTGTATTGTATTGTATTGTATTGTATTGTATTGTATTGTATTGTATTGTATTGTATTGTAAGGAAAACAGACGAAAGTTACCGTTCTCATTTTAGACAAAGACTTCCTTTATTCCTCGTAGGCCTATACAAAACACACGATTCGCCGATGATGTTGCACGTGTGTGCATATACGTGCTTATTGGTGTATCAAATTCAAAGCTTTTAAGATAACTATAATTTGACCATGCATGGTCACTTTCTATTTGACTCCAGGCGCGGATCCAAGGGGGAGGGGTGTCAGCCTGTCAAATGTTTTTATTTTCATAGAAATGCATTAAAAATAATGTGAACCCCCCCCCCCCACCCCCCCCCCCCCCACCCCCGCTGTGACACCCCATTAATTGTTACTGGTATAATAATGCATACCTGTTCACAAAATACGGACATAGCCAGCTGTCCATAGGGGATATTTGTACACTATTCTGTAATGCAGTGTTAATAATTCTCGGATTTGAACAGCGCCTCCATTGAAAGTATGGTACGAGCCCCCCCCCCCCCCCCCCCCCCCCGCCACCTATTGATTTTGCGAGACCAAGTGTCCGGACAAAAAACTGTCCACATTTCAGTGATGATTTGTTAATGAAACCACCCCCCCCCTCCCCTGCAAAAATTCCTGGACCCGCCCCTGGACTCACACTGTGCAATATGGGGATCAAAGTAGAAAGATGCTTGGAGGCACGGCAAAACAGTCTCCTTCGCAAAAACAATCATTGGATTTAATTTACTAGTCCACATAACGTTTGAAGGTGTTCTCGGTGGAGTTGAAATTGGGTAACAGTTCAACATGTCAGTCTTTGTCTTTAACAATATAGACTTTTTGTTAAATGCGCAGATTTGAAAATGAAAATTAAAAAAAAACGAAAAACCCTGCACTTATTTTTAATTTAATATTTAGGAATTCTGAAAGGGATAGTGACTTAAGGGGTGGGATGTGTTTAATTAGATTGGGAAGGGCACCAAAGAAGCGGTAAGAGTGTACATTACAATGATGTATGATCATATGATGCGACTATAATAAGGAATGTCTTTCATTGCTTTTTCTCTCGCATGTTCGAGTGATTCTGAGCATCCTTCATGCATATAATGTTCCTTGTTTCAGGGGGCGTTTGCTGGTTTGATGGTTGGACTCGTTGTTGGTATGGTCCGCATGATACTTGACTTTGTCTACGCTGCTCCCAGCTGTGGGGAGGAGGACACCAGACCAGGGATTGTAGCAGATGTCCACTATCTGTATTTTGGCATACTTCTGTTCGTCATCTCCTTCGTTGTGACGATCGTTGTCAGTCTGTTCACTAAACCTATCCCAGAAAAATACGTAAGTTGAACATTAATAATAAAACACTTCTAACTGTGTTTCGCTATTGTGTAAAATTATTACTGATCATGATTCAGTATCAATGTCGTAATGTTGCAGCTGCGGTTTGCCCTTAGGTTTGTTACGAATGTTTGTTATAGGACACGAGCTGTATTACACATGACTAGCTTCGAGCTAAACTGTTTCGTAATTTTATCTCACGCAGTGTTGTTTTTTATTATAAAAGTAAAATCTTGAATTTTTTTTACTCTGTATGGACTAGCGCATCCCAACATATCTAGATTCCTAACAATCAAAGCTTTTACCTTCTAGCTGGTTCGACTGACTTGGATGACTCGTCACAGTGATCTAGAGAGGGTTGATCTTGCAATCTCAGACATAAGGCTTGAGAATAAAGAAGAGAAAACGCCCATGCGTGGCGAGGACGAGGAGGAGGGATTCAACAAAGGTGAGTGAAAGATGTCGGGGAAAAGAGGCTTGTATTATAAATCTGGAGATTCTCGATCTGAACATGCTCTAGACCAAAGTATACCAAAGTATACCAAAGAAAACTGCTCGAGCATGGTAAACAAATTCAATCATTTTTACATCATTATTATGGGGTGAGATTCTTGTTGATGCATTAGTGTTTATACAAGAGAAATATTTCAGAATAGAGAATCGATGCCAATAATTCGAATTCGGGTCAAAAGAAGACACTTCAACCCAATTACCAAATACGCCAACCTTATAGGCCAAACCAGTCACAGTTATCGCAGTTTTCAAATCGCTAATATTGATTTGTTGTACCATAATTTAAACAGAAACGGAAAAACCACGAATTGCTCGACGTGTGGTAGACTGGCTGTGTGGCACTGGAAAACAAGACAAGGGTGATGGTCTGACGGAAGAACAAAGGAAAGAATTGATGAAGAAAATGACAGACATCAAAGAGACCCGTAAGGAGACCATCATACTGAATATTGCCGCTATACTGCTCATGTGCAGCAGTATCTTCTTCTGGGCATTCTTCGGCTAAGACTGCTTTGGAATTGATGAAAAAATATATCCACACCATAGAGGTTCCTTGTCTTTTGTCTGAAGATCATTTTGTATATAAGCAGGTTTTTTTTCGGCAGCATTTAATACATGGGGAAAACAAACAAGTATAAACACACATTTCATGGACAAAACTAGCATGTCTCATATAGTGGCGTTGTTTATCAATCATATCTCACAATATGAAGGGGGCTTTTCTAAAAGTGCAGGTGTGGGAACAGGACATAAGCCTACATCTTCGTAGCTACGATGCAAAAGGGGAGGGGAGTATATATACAGATCAGAGAATTCCCCCTTGCGCTCCCGGATGCTATCTTGGAAGGCTTTTTTTTTTAAAACTTATTCGCTATTTTCTGTAGTTAATTGTTTGCATGCTCGGAAAAATGTATGCAGATAAACAAAATTAGTAAACGGAATAATTACATTTAATGACAAATTGGAATTGTGTAGGCAACGAAGCTATTGAATGGTATTTTGCACATAACAATCAATGAAATTTAGTATTCATCTTAGAATAGGAGACCAACCAATAATTATGAAATTATTACCTTTTCCATATTTTGTTAATTTTACGTATATTATATACTTGTTGTTAGCACAAAGTAAGAAATGTGTATATCACATAACTGCCAGATTGAAACTTTGTTGTGCGGTCCACGCTCAGCAAAGTCAGTGGGATAGATAGAGAATTGTATATAGCAGGACTACGTCTTCACCCCAAACTCGGCTTTATTTTCTATAAAGTCCACTTTGCAGTTCATCGTTTTTCTTAAATTTTGCTCTAAATGAATGTATAAGCTTTTGATCTATCCAACAAGCATTTGGGATTAACGATGTACCTTATTTTAATAGGTGAAAACTTATACTATAGTGATATGTAACTGACATGCCGTGTGTATTGTGCTGTATGAATTGCAAATTCAAGTGTGCTTTGTAACATTATATAATGTTTATGTTCCATACACCATGATTTCCATTCACCGATCATGTAAGTTCAGAATGGCATTTGGGCCATATTGTTTTACTGTTGGGGCGATCGTTCATCTGGAAAGACGGGAACCAAACAATTCAAAATGTTGGCATTGGATACATAGCTATAATTCAACAGGGTAATCCGGCTGATTGAAGTAGTTCTTCCGCCCAATTAAAATGATAGTCCGGTTGTCATTTAAATACTACATTTATATAGATTTATACATTAATTTACTAAAATGAGGGAAATGACAACATTTATATTCAACATTTACAATGAGAATCCACGCACTCTCCGGCAGAATTCGTTTGAGTAATCGCGAGCGGTTAAGTCATCATATGAGTTTCTAAATCATTGTTGAGCCAGTTCTTAGTGGCTGAGCGTTCATTAACAGATATAAACAATCAAAGATAGTCTTTTCATTTTGTCCGTTAGTTGACTTAGATGGCACGTAGACCTACATTTGAACTTCCCATCAGTATGAATTTTAAGAAGAGCTTCCCTATATAAACGTTCATTTATTTTTAATTTACTTTGATTACATTATAATGTTAAAATATTTCTAAAACTTGTAGTAATACTCGACTTTGATCGAATGAGAGAAAATTTCAACTATATCGATGGTAAATCTGAAATTGAACTGTTCATCAATGCAAATTGGGTCTTCCCTAATGAATGACGTTTTTAGAAATGCATGTAGAATATTTTATCAATGTAATTTAACAATAAATTAGGATTGCGCAGAGTCTTAAACACTGTTTCGTGTCGTGAATGTTATGAGAATCATGTATACACAGTGCGTCACATCAGGTCAACTCACTTCAAGCAAGGTATTATAGCTTTCAAATCTGTTCTGATTAATATTTTGGTTTTTTTATGATTTTTTTAATATTTATAATTTTATTCTGCTTCCAAAATCATGCACACTTCCTTTCATCGGATTAACTGTAAACTTGGTTCACACCCAGACCACAATGACAAAATGTGCATTGAGAAGGGTTTTCAAGATGACGTCATCGCAGGGCATGTGACGTCATGTGATAAAGCTTTATTTTTGGAATTATTAAGCATCGTGAACAACCTTTAACTGTATTAAATACTCTAGAAAGTGACTGCAAATTGACAAACATAGCATAAACATTTGTAAAATGTGAAAAAGCCCTGTGTTCTGTTTTCAAACAGACATACAGCTCTAGTTGTGCATCTGAAGTTGTGAGCCGAACATTGACGTCATTATGACTTCATCACGAGTCACGTGACGTCACATTATACGCGACTTTTCTATTGTGACCATTTTCTATTGTGACCATTTTGTGACAGATTGAGCTATATATCTCCAGAACTACAGGTCCGATTGGGTTGAAAGTTGGTATGTACCTAGACCGGGATGTCTTATAGATGAAAATTAACTTGACGTCATGATGACGTCATCACGTGACATATGACGTAATATAAAATAAACATATTTTGAAGGCTTATATCTCCTGAACTACAGGTCCGATGGGGTTGAAAGTTGGTATGTACCTAGACCGGGATGTGTTATAGATAAAAAAAAATGAAGTGACGTCACGACGTCATCATGGGTCACGTGACGTCACGTTAAAGATTAATAGATCTTTGAAAATCAATATAAAATCAACCGTGAGAGACCTGAACTTGACGTTTGCAAGAATCGATAGAATAATCCAGGGTCTTCATTTTGTTATATTATGTGCAAAATCACGTGCCCCTTCCTTCCGGTTGAAACCGGAAGTGCCATGTAATTTAAAATTGGTGAAAGATGTGAACTTGCTTTCAACGATGTATGCTATGGCTAAGTTGTTATTTACAAACAAAAATATAGTAATAGATGAGGGGGGCACTTGCATGGGGGGGACTTGCCCCCGCCCCCTGGAAAAGCAACAACAAAAAAACAAAAAAAAAGGAAGAAAAAAAAAGAAAAAAGAAAAAGAACTAGAAATGTGTTTGTGGACAAACACAAGCTGTTTCGGATATTTGAAATACTCTGTGCACGTGATGAACACTTGATGAAGTCACTTCGAATGTCATCTGCCAAGTGAAAAGTCAATCAGACATATAGTGCCAAAGTATGATTTGAAGAAAAAGGTGTACAAACCCTATGGGGAAAAATGCATCTTTAATGTGAAGTAACCTTACACCTGATGATGTCACGATCACAAAATTCTTCTAGGACCATCTGTAGGTGGTAGTCTAAGTGTGTATTAAGTCTAACGTCGATCGGATTTACGAAAGTGCCAAAGTAGAATGTTTTAAAACGTGTACAAACCCTATGGGGAAAAATGCATCTTTAATGTGACGTAACCCAACACCTGATGACGTCACGATCACGAATTTCTTCTAGGACCATCTGTGGGTGGTAGTTTAAGTGTGTACCAAGTCTGACGTCGATCGGATTTACAAAAGTGCCAAAGTAGAGTGTTTTATAACGTGTACAAACCCTATGGGGAAAAATGCATCTTTAATGTGACGTAACCTGACACCTGATGACGTCACGATCACGAATTTCTTTGAGGACCATCTGTGGGTGATGGTCTAAGTGTGTACCAAGTGTAACGTCGATCGGATTTACGAAGATGCCAAACTGGAGTGTTTTAAAACGTGTACAAAACATATGGGGTAAAATGCATCTTTAATGTGATGTAACCTGACACCTGATGACGTCATGATCACAAATTTCTTCTTAGGACCATCTGTGGGTGGTGGTCTGAGTATGTACCAAGTCTGAAATCAATCGGATTTAAAAAAGTGGCAAAGTGGACTGGTGGAAGAAACGTGTGTTAAACCAATGGAGAAAAAGTCTGAAAAAGGAGAAAAAAAAAAAGAAAAAAAAGAAAAAAAAAGAAAAAAAAAAATCTTAACGAAAACAAGAGCTGTTTCGGTGTGTCACCGAAACAGCAAAAAAGAGGCGCGAAGACAAAGTGGTGTAAATTTAATGAGTTGGGGGGGGGGGCAAAATGTCCCTGCCCCCCTCTAAAACTGATAAATCGAGAATGTGTTGAGAAATACAAGCATTTGTTGGCAATTTATTTTTTGCCCCCCCCTCTAAAAAAAATCCTGGCGACGCCCATGCTTATACTTGAAACTTTGCATCATGTCACACAAAAATACCGAAACAGCCCTGTGTTTGTCCACAAACATAAGTCTAGTTCTAATCATTTTCATTATCAGCCATTCAATTTCGCGTGAATTTTGCACATGTGATCAAATTGGGGTTTCTTTTTCATTTTGGGAGCGTTCAGTTTCATTTTTAGGCAATCCAAGATTTTGCACTGAATGTTTGTTTTCGTTTTGTGACAGTCTGTTTCGGTTTGTTGCATTCAAAACTTAATTTGTAGCTTTCTTAAATTAAGTCTTTGCAACCATTTGACAGTTGACGCATTCAAATTAGCGAACGTTGGTGCACTAATAACGCATTACCATGCTTTTCGTTTCTTATTCGTTTATGGGCAATCCATTTCATCGTTTGGTCATTCAAATTAAAACGATTTTTTTTTCATTGATATTTTTTACTTTTTTCCTCTGAGGTTATTTTCCCCCAAAAATCTGGGTGACTGTAACATTTACAATGTTGCAAATTAACTGATATGAGGGAAACAAGATGTACCAAAATAATGAAATGGAAAGGGCTATGATAATTTCTTTTTAACTGTTGATCTTTTCTACTTGTTTAAACGTTTGATCAAGGGGCTTCTTTAAATGTTGACGATTTCTTGACGTGCAAGACATGGGGGCACGTATGTTTGGCAATGGCTGTACCATCGGGAACACTTCTCTTGGGTAATTTCTTAAATGTTTTCTTGCGCTCACTGACCGAACACTTATTTAATTAAGGGATCCGTGCTATGTAAGTTTTCAATGCAAACCTATTTTTCCATTTCGAAGTGTGTTTTGGTGCCTTCTCCGATTTTATGCTGATGCAAAAATCCATATTTTGGCCTATGAGCAAAAGTTTGATTCATTCCGGGCAGATTAATGTTACATGGCTATTTCAGCACAAAAAAGTTGCTAGAATTTTGGATATTTTGCTGTCATAAATTTCTTTTCTTTAATGATTCTTTGTTGTGTCAATACAATCATGTCAGTAAGTCATTGAGCAATCCTTTCTCACAAATGTTTTCAATTAGAAAATTTTGGGTGAATAATTTGAAAGAAAACCTCTCAACTGAACAGTGTCTACCTGAAAACACATCACAGCAACAGCGGGCTCAGTAGTCCGGAAAAGCATGGAAACTTGTAAATGTTTAAAAGACGTGTTCTTTGCAATAAGACTAACCAAAAAAGGATGTCAAAATAGTTTTCATACATTTCAGAGTAGTAGAAAGTTGCACAAAATGTATTCCTAGGATAAATTCATAGCACAGACCCTTTAACTAAGAAAGAGAGGTGTGCATTTACGGATTATATGATTTACGCCGAGATAATTCAGAATTTTACGTGAAGGAAGTCTTAAACATGCTTGACAAAATGTGAAATATGTTTGCACATTAATGGAAATTAATGCCCGATCAACCCCTTACTACTGGTTCAGACAAAAACGAATGATCAACGCGATACTTATAATTTGAATGCATCTTTTACAGGGACGAGTGAAGCTAAAAGGCGATAGAATGCTCGGATTGTGAAATTGAATGATTCTTTTTAATTGTTGAATGACGATCTGTGCATGTGATCTTTCAATTTCAATCTAAATCGAATGAGCCAGGCGTTAAATTCAATGAAAACTTGGTGAAGTTGGCCGGGAAAACCTATATAGGTTTTCCCGGCGAATTTCCGAATTTTTCCAATCAGTTTCATTATCAGCCATTCAATTTCCTGTGAGTTTTGCACATGTGGTCAAATTGAGGTTTCTTTTTCGTTTTGGGTTCGTTCAATTAATTTTTAGGCAGCCAAGATTTTGCTCTGAATGTCCGTTTTCATTTTCGGGCATCCTATTTCGTTTAAGTGCATTCAAGACTTAACGTCTAGCAGTCTTAAATTAAGTCTTTGCAACCTTTTGACGGTTGACGCGTTCAAATTAGCGAACATCTGTGCGCTTGTAAAGTATAACCATGCTTTCCGTTTCTTATTCGTTTATGGGCAATCGCTTTCATCGTTCGGTCATTTAAATTAGTAAAAAAAATTAATCGATACATTTCCTATTTTTCTCCGAGGTTCATTTCCTTCCAAAACTTGATAACTGTAAAACTTACAATGTTACAAATTAACTGATAGACCCTATGAGGGAAACAAGATGTAATTACGAATTAATTAATTGAAGGGACTAAGATAATTTGTTTTTCACTGTTTATCTTTTCTACTTGTTTAAACGTTTGATCAAGGGGCTTCTTTTAATGTTGACGATTTCTTGACGTGCAAGACATTGGGGCTCGTATGTTTGGCAATGGTTATACCATCGGGAACACTTCTCTTGGGTAATTTCTTAAATATTTTCTTGCGTATGTCTGACCGAACACTTATTTAAAGGACCCATGCAAAAATGTGTCAATGTAAACCTTGGAAATACATCTTTGTGTCACATTTAACCTTACTTTCAAGTTTTATTTTTCTATTTTGAAGGGTGTTTTTGGTGCCTTCTCTGTTTTTATGCTAATGCAAAGTTCCATATTCATGCCGTCGACGACCGGCCGGCCGGACCGTACCCGTACGTACGTACCCGCATATTAGCCTGGCCCTGTTGCGCAGAGACGGTGTCAAACTTAACTGTGTCAAAGACTGTGTATATGGAGATCAAT